AGGATATTGAATTTTAGTATTTGCTTTGATTCGAAAGTTTACGGATATCCGGAATTTTCGGATCGAATCGAAACGAATAACGGATCGAATCAAATATAACGGATAAAATGCCCAGCCCTAACAACGTGTATACCATTTTCGAAGAATTGCTTCGTGTACAAAGCTTACTGATAGGCTTCCTTTGAGCTGAAAAAACGATTTTAGTTGTAATCAGAATAAGCTTTTTTGTATGACTTTTGTGGATAAATAATAAACATACTTGGACGAGGGAGTGTATAAAATCTGAAACTTATTTGTGTTACTTTTCATTAAGACAACATTCAAACTCAAATAGTTATTAACCGTGAGTGACCGTTTGTAAATTCCAAAACCTGAACATATAAAACTACCATATCTTATCCAACAAGTCACTATCAGTAAAACCTTACAGTTTTAGTGTGCGTAATTATATAACAAATGTTGCTTCATTTCTGGAACTCACTTGACACAACTCCAAAATACTGTAACCGTTTTTCTTCCTTGCTTATGATCTCTCTCTTTCGCCACCAGTTTCTATATGTGTAGTATAATGAACGTTTCAAGGATGAATAAACTAGAGAATCGTCAAGGTGTCGAAGGTGATGATGAAGTGTCGAAGGAGATGGTGAGGTGTAGTAGTGCTTAATAAAAGTGATGTCACAAGGAGATGTGCTATTTATATCATATATTTTCACACAAAGCCCGTTCAGATTAAAACCTTCTTTATATAGACTTTGTTGGTTACTAAAAATGGCTATTACTAGTTACTTAGAGCATCTTTAGAGCATCCGCAACAAAGAATCTTAAGGGGAATCCTTAGGAAAAAAGAAAAAGGGGTATTTCAGATTATATAAGGATATTTCGGATTATTTCTTTAAAATAAAAAAATCTGACCAATCGTGGACCGACACGTGGCAGTGGAGTCCATGAATAGTATAAGGATCCATCCGAATCAATCCTTATATAAGGATTTTATTCTTAAAATCCTTAACTGTTTATGGGACCCATTAATTATAAAATTAATATTTTCTTAAGGATTCTCCCTAAGGATCCCTTGTTGCGGGTGGTCTTATTGCTAGTTTCTCTAGGAAAGTTTCTCAAAAATATATTAGTACAATAATATAAAGTATGAAAGAGAAAGAAGAAATCGTGAGATAAGTTTCGTTATAAAGAAACTTTGAACGATTGGGAAGAGTGGATATCTACAGATGTCTTCTTGATATTAGTGGAATTAATTTGTCAGTATTTAAATTTAATCAGATAAAAAGTTTATAGTAATATATTGACATAATTGCCTATAGAATTGTGCCCAAGAAACTTAGCGTTGATGATGCTCTTAGCCACCATCAATGCCGTTAGTTTCTTCTCCTGCAAGCCAGACCACTTCTTGGCTCGTCGATTGTTATCGTGAGACGTCGTTAAAACCTGGGACGCCTTTTATGATGTCTGAGACTGAAACAAAGAGTGACAATGACGGAATTGGAATTTTTGGTTTTTTGAAAGGGAAGAGCTATTTTGTTACTGGTGCAACAGGGTTTCTTGCTAAAGGTAAGAAAACCCTAAAAAAACAGAGTTTACACCTTCAGCAATAAACCCTAAAAGACTTTCTTGTTTCACAAGTAAAACATTGTTTGTTGCAGTGTTAATTGAGAAGTTGATGAGAGAAAGTCCTGAGATTGGTAAGATTTTTATTTTAATCAAATCTGAAGATCAGGAGTCTGCTAACAAGAGACTATATGATGAGGTTCTGTTTTTTTTTCGTGGAACACAACCTCCTTGAGCCTTACGTTACTTTTTTTTTTCTTCTGTTTCTCCAAGTTTGTATCCTTTCTAATCTACGCAGATCATAAGCTCGGATCTTTTCAAAACTCTAAAGCAAATGCATGGGAGCTCTTACGAAGCATTCATGAAAAGCAAGTTGATTCCAGTGGTTGGAGATATTGGAGAAGACAATCTTGGCATCAAGTCTCAAATAGCATGCAAGAAGATTAGTGATGAGATTGATGTCATTATAAATTGTGCTGGTCGTACAACATTTGACGATAGGTTTTCTTTTTTTTCTTGCTAACCAAGTTTTAGTATCTTAATTTTGCTTTTAATTCAAACAAATGAAAACAGATATGACTTTGCCTTAAGCGTCAATGCTCTTGGACCTGGTAAACTCTTAAGCTTCGGAAAGGGATGCAAGAAACTGAAACTCTTTCTCCATATTTCAACTGGTAAGAGTCTATGTTTAATTAGCCAAGAATGTTTTTTTTAAGGGTTGGTCTAAGAAGCTGGTTTACTTTTTATAGCTTATGTGACTGGTAAGAGAGAAGGAACAATACTAGAGACTCCTCTCTGCATTGGAGAAAACATAACTCCTGAAACCGAGACGAAACTGGCTTCAGAAGCTTTAACAAAGTTCCATGGCAGAGAAGAAAGCAAGAGACTGAAAGAACTTGGCATGGAAAGGTTATGGATGATCAATGAGAAAAAACTTCAAATTCTTTTTACTAATTATCTTTAAATTTTTTTTAATCTTTTGACTAACCAGAGCTCAACACTATGGCTGGGAAAACACTTACACATTCACAAAAGCTATGGGTGAGTCTGTAATACACAACCAAAGAGGAGATCTGCCTGTGGTGATTATAAGGCCTAGTAGTATAGAAAGCTCCTACAAGGAGCCTTTTCCTGGCTGGCTCCAAGGAATAAGGTTAAAGATTTTCTTTCTCAAAGACAAAAAACATGATTAACTTCTTTTACATGTGGACATTATTATTTGGTTTTGACATAAAACAACCAGCTTGTCTTAATGTTAGATGAGACCCTGAACTAAAAATAAATATGAGCTTTAGTTGTTGGTATATATGAGTTTATAAGAAAACCTATTGTCATTATAACTTTAATATGTAATAAATTTTCAGGGCCCTTTTGACTAAGAAAACTAAAACATAAAAATATTTTTGTCCCTAGCATAAGGGACCTGAAAACAACATGATGAGTGCTCCAGTAATATCCTTTAAAAATCATTTATATGATTCTTAACAAAACGGATGTTATGTATATATTATATATTCAAAAAGTCTCTAATATAACTTGATTTTTTTCATGATTTTTAAAATTCATATGTTGTGATAAAGCATAAATCATAACTAATTTTGTATATGAAATTTTTCATTCTTTTTGGTTGAGATTCTTAATTGGTTTTAAAAACTAAAACAATAGGATGACTGCTCCATTGATATTGGCCTATGGAAAAGACCAGATTGCTCACATGTGGGGCGACTATCAATCTTCTTGTGACATTATACCTGTTGATATGGTTGTGAACGCGGCAATATCAGCAATGGCAAAGCATGGTTGTGGTGTATCAGAGCTGAAAGCTTACAATGTTACTTCATCTTCTCATGCAAAACCCCTGAGACTTGGCGGTTGATGGACTTCTCTCATCAACATCTGTGTGACTCTCCATTTATAGAAACATTTCTGGAGTTGGAGCGTATGAAATTCCACAATTCCTTAGAGGATTACACCTCCTCTGTATCCAACAGAATAGCAAAACAAGAAGGCGAGATGAGTAGCGGAAGAATTGAGTTTCTTACCATGCTGAGCATGAAAGGGAAGAGGAAACTAAAATATCTTGTGTCCCTAGCAAGAACGTATCAGCCTTACACTTTCTTTCAAGCTCGGTAAATAACATCACTTGGACTAGTCCTTTTATTAAGCAAAAAAAAAAAATTTGATTGCAAATTGTTTATCAATACCAGGTTTGACAACACCAACACAAGGAGTCTGATACAGAAGTTGTCAATGGAAGAGAGAAGAATGTTTGGGTTCAATGGCAGAGACATTGACTGGGAGCACTACATTGTCAACGTTCATCTTCCAGGTCTCAAAAGAGAACTCTTTCGCCGAAGATCCAGTTATAAGAATTCTATAAAGACTGATCAAGATTTTAGTCCAGGATGTGTAATCACCTAAAATCCAAATCTAGCAGAATAAGTAAAGATATTTGGGTGTTACATTTCAAGTTTCATTCCTTGTATAAGCTAGAACAATAAATAAAGTTTGTGGAATTGATTAGAAATTACTCCCTATATTTCACAAAAAGTGTTTTGACAATTTTTTTGGTTAAACAAAAGTGTCAAATTACAATTTTAATGCAACTCATATTTATTTTAGCTCAATATTAATTACAAAATACATTGCTCTTAGAAAAATTCTACTTAACTCAAATATTATTGGTTAAAAATATAATTAATAAAAACCTAAATATATTTTAATCATTTTCTTAATCTGTATGAATAGTGTCAAAATAGCATGCGTTTGGGTTTTTTTTAATGAATCTAAAAGTTCAGGTAGACTGAGTTTTGAGTGTTAATAGTATGTGTGGTATAAAAAAGTCAACTTTTTTGAAGGGTTATTACTTTACTAGGTATTTGTCCGCGCAAAAGCGCGGTTGCTAACTCTTTTTCATATATGTTGCAAAATAAAATAAAATATTTTATTAGAAGAAAAAAATTACATGTAAATATATTGTCAAGACTTAAGAGTTATTATGTACTAAATCAATTATAGTTAAACATTACTTTGGAATTACATATTTAGAAAACAAAATGTATAGATTGTAGTCTTTTCCTTCTCATTCTTTTGTTTTCTTTCGCTGTGTATTTTACACTTCTTCATTTTCATTGTTATACTTGCTCAGACATCTTTGTTTCTAAGTGACTATACAAATTTAGTAACACTTTAACAAAATGTATAGATTGATCTGGAAAGTAAGAAAAAAAGAAATATAACATCTCTATAAAAATTATAAACACATAAAAAACACCAACCTCGCGAGGTTACATCTTCATATAGACAGTAGACATGAGTGTTTATAGTTGCCTTTATCATTTAAGTTTCTGAAATCCTATTGTTGTCTTCTAGTTATCATAACTTTGTTTTTCTTGTGCTGCAGTGCGCCTCAGGTTTCCTAAGAGTCTTCTTGTACGTGTGCTTTAAGGCGAGTCCTTCTTATTCCTGAAACATCACCATCACACAAATAAGCATATTACAGCAAACCGAATATTGATTTAGCTCATTTCAAAATGTTATATTTACGTCTGTTTTTCACGATGCTAACAAATATAAAATCCAAAGCAAAAAATATAAATATAAAATCCAAAGCAAAAAATCTATAAGTAGAATAGAAGAGGGAAGTCCTTTATGAAAAATAAAGTCAACATGAAGCAAATAACGTTTGAATAAGAAGAGTTTAGGAGTTTCTAGAGTTACTAACCTGGACTTTAATGTTCATATGCCAATTTTGGAGTATGCTCCTCTTAGCCATCCATCCACTGTTCAGTCATAAACTATGTTGATGTGGATCCATAATTGTAGATTCAACATTGTAGATACAATCGTTCAATCTATCTACTTAGAGATTAAAATTTCATGATATTTAGGAGAAAGTTAAGAGTAATTACAAATAAAGAATTACAGAATTTACAATTTCTGAAATCAGTAAAGATGAATCTAAGCTAATGGTATTATAAGTTAAACTGTATCTAGAGTAAAGATTAACTTCTCCAATAACATCGTGGGATCATCGGTGTTTTGGAATTGCTATTAAAGAAAAATAGGAATTATGTAAGTGATACAAAACTTTTTCTTTTGCCTTTAATTCTTTTTTTTTTGTATTTACAATTTTTCTTTAAATTATTAAATATGCCACTTGTTAAAATATAATTGATGAAACGACTTGCGCTTTAGGATATAAATTATGAGATTAGTACCATAAGGGAGTTTTGGAAGCTCAAAGACTGTTCTTCGATGTGAATTGCAACTGTTTTAGATTAAGCTGAATTAATTAATGACCTTTTGTAGGTAAGGGACGTTATCATCTGACCCCAATTAAATAAATATAAGGCCCCTCCAATGGAACCATTAACATGAAACCTAACCTCATAAATTACTTATTTTCCTATATATACTCTCACACAGAGCCCTCCAAAACCATAAACAAAAACAAAACTAAGTTGATAACTATACTACACATGGCAATCACAACAAATCTCCTAGTAACAAGCAACACTATTAAATTGAATGGTGTCAGCTTCTTCCCCTCTTTCCCTGGCACACTTAACCACTGCTTGGCTCGTCGTTTGCCCCAGTCCATGACTACACGTAGAGTCCAAACTTCTTGTTGTTATCGTGAAACGTCGTTGAAACCTGTGAGTCCGTTTAATATGTCAGAGACAGAACCAAGTAGTGTCAGTGATGGAGTTGGTATTCTACGTTTCTTAAAAGGAAAAAACTATCTCCTTACCGGTGCAACTGGTTTTCTTGCTAAAGGTACCTCAAACCCTAAAACAGGAGTTTCTTGCCGTCCAAGTAAACTGATTTTTGTTTTGTTTTATTGTTGGTGCAGTGTTGATTGAGAAATTACTGAGGGCAAGTCCTGAGATTGGGAAGATCTTCCTTCTGATCAAATCAGACGATCAAGAATCAGCCAACAAGAGACTCTATGATGAGGTTTTGTTTTCAGTCTCATCCTTGGGTCTTACGCTACTCCTTTCCTTTTTCATTTCTCTAAATTTTGTATCCAATGTGTTCCACACAGATCATAAGCTCGGATCTGTTCAACCTTTTGAAGAAAATGCATGGGAGCTCTTACGAAGCTTTCATGAAAAGCAAGTTGATTCCAGTGGTTGGAGATATTGGAGAAGACAATCTTGGCATCAAGTCTCAAATAGCATGCAAGAAGATTAGTGATGAGATTAATGTCATAATAAATTGTGCTGGTCGCACAACATTTGACGATAGGTTTTCTTTTTTTCTTGCCAACCAAGTTTTAGTTTCTTAATTTTGCTTTTAATTCAAACAAATGAAAACAGATATGACTTTGCCTTAAGCGTCAATACTCTTGGACCTGGTAAACTCTTAAGCTTCGGAAAGGGATGCAAGAAACTGAAACTTTTTCTCCATATTTCAACTGGTAAGAGTCTATGTTTAGCCAATAATTCTTTTTTTTTAAGGATTAGTCTCAGAAGCTGACTTACTTTTTATAGCTTATGTGACTGGTAAGAGAGAAGGAACAATACTAGAGACTCCTCTCTGCATTGGAGAAAACATAACTCCTGAATTAAACATTGAAACCGAGATGAAACTGGCTTCAGAAGCTAAAAGAAAGTTCTATGGCAGAGAAAAAAGCAAGAAACTGAAAGAACTTGGCATGGAAAGGTTATGGATGATTTAATGAGAAAAACTTCACATTCTTATGTACTAATTATCTTTAGTTTTTTTTTAATCTTTTGACTAACCAGAGCACAACACTATGGCTGGGAAAACACTTACACATTTACAAAAGCTATGGGTGAGTCTGTGATTCACAACCAAAGAGGAGATCTGCCTGTGGTGATTATAAGGCCTAGTGTTATAGAAAGCTCCTACAAGGAGCCTTTTCCTGGCTGGCTCCAAGGAATAAGGTTAAAGATTTTCTTTCTCAAAGACAAAAAAAAAATTGATTAACTTCTTTTTCTGTGGACATTTTTATTTGGTTTTAATATAAAACAACCAGCTTGTCTCAATGTTAGATGAGACCCTGAACGAAAAATAAATATGAGCCCTAGTTATTGGTATGAGTTTATAAAAAAACCTATTGTAATGTGTGATAAATTTTCTGGGCCCTTTTGAGTTTTGACTAAGAAAACTAAAACAGTAATGGGGGGGGGAGAGGAGAGAAAAGAGGGAAATAGAGTATATAGTTAAATATGAGGTTTTTTGTGTGTATGAAGTGCAAATACTCTAAAAATATTTTGGTCCCTTTTACTAAGTGATCAATCGTAAAGAAAACACAAAAAGTTGGCCCTATGCATAAGAGCATCCACATTGATCAATCCCCCCCTTGGGGGTTCACACAAATAAAAAAATATTTTTTCTTTTAATTTTCGTTTACTTTTTAAAAAAAGAAAAAAAAAATTAATAATGGACCAATCATATGCTGACACGTGGTGAATCCGGGGTCATCGGGGTTCACCGCGGTGAACTTTTGAGAGAGGGGTTCATAGAAATCTGATTTTTATATTATTTTTTTCTTGGTTGGCGTGTGAACTCCCCCCATCATCCCTTGATGGGGATGCTCTAAGGGACCTGGAAACAACATGATGAGTGCTCCAGTAAGACTTGTACTCTGTACAATAAGGATGTTGAAAACTCTTTTCAACGGTTGAAACTCTTACATGTTGATAAATTTTGTTTATCTATGTGGCATAAACAACTGTTGTAAAATTTCACTTTCACTTTTTGATTGATTGTGCAGATTTTTTAATTTTTATTCTCATTCAATAATTCAAATGTATTTTATATAATTAAACTTTTTTAAAAGTAAAATTATATCAAAATTCAAAAATTTTTAATCTATAAGTAGAGACTACTCTCATTTAATTTGGATATATAAAAAGCGTCATTTTCAATATAATCAATTATTTTAGTGTTTTTTGTTAAATAAATCTCAATATAATCCTTTTAACATTCAAGACTCTTCTGATATTTCGTTTAACTTCTAAAATCCCAACAATTATTAGTTTCAAAACCAAACTTTCAACCAACCAAAATTTTCATCTACTTAGTTTTTTTTTTATAAATAGAAACTAATTTTCCCATAGATATACCAATAACACAAATTTCATATCAATGGATCCATGAGAATTTCTTTTCGATATCAAAGTGTACAAAAAATAGTGTGAACTTGAAGAGAGATATATCTTAATTTTAATTTTTTTATTAATATAAATTTGGGTTTTATTCAAAAATTAAACTAAGTATAATAATTCAAAATAAATATTATTGAAAGTTATGTTATTTTAGTTCTTAAATTAATTATTAATATGTAATTATTATTTGGTCAAAAACCAAAATAAGAATTAAGAGTTGTGAACTAGGGTGTTGAATTTTTTAGAACAAACCATTGTAGATGTTTAAAATGAAGTGAGTGTTGAATAAATTAGGTAGATGAGAGAAAATATGATCTAGAATGTTAAAAAAGAAAAATAAGGATGTTGAAAATGGGGAAAGTATTGAAACCATTGTACATGGTCTAATATCCTTTAAAAATAATTTATTTGATTCTTAAAAAAACGGATGTTATGTATATATTCAAAAAGTCTCTAATTTAACTTGATTTTTAAAATACATATGTTTGTAATAAAGCATAAATCGAACTAATTTTGTATATGGAATTTTCCATTCTTTTTTTTTTTTGTGATTCTTAATTGGTTTTAAAAACTAAAACAACAGGATGACTGCTCCATTTATATTGGCCTATGGTAAAGACCAGATTGCTGACTTGTGGGGAGACTATCAATCTTCTTGTGACATTATACCTGTTGATATGGTTGCAAACGCAGTAATAGCAGGAATGGCAAAGCATGGTTGTGGTGTCTCAGAGCTGAAAGCTTACAATGTTACTTCTTCTTCTCATGCAAATCCCCTGAGACTTGGCGAGTTGAGTGACTTCTCTCATCAATATCTGTGTGACTCTCCATTCACAGAAGCAGTGATGGAGTTAGAGCGTATGAAATTCCACAGTTCATTAGAGGATTACACCTCCTCTGTATCCAACAGAATAGCAAAACAAGAAGGAGAGATGAGAAGCAGAAGAGGTGAGTCACCTACCATGCTGAGCATGAAAGGGAAGAGGAAACTAAAATATCTTGTGTCCCTAGCAAGAACATATCAGCCTTACGCCTTCTTTCAAGCTCGGTAAATAACATCACTTGAACTCGCCCTTTTGTTAAGCAAAAAACTATATATTTTGATTATTGACTGTTTATCAATACCAGGTTTGACAACACCAACACAAGGAGTCTGATACAAGAGTTGTCAATGGAAGAGAGAAGAATGTTTGGGTTCGATGGCAGAGACATTGACTGGGAGTACTACATTGTCAACGTTCATCTTCCAGGTCTCAAAAGAGAACTCTTTCGCTGAAGATCCAGTTAAAAGAATTCTATAAAGACTGCTCCAAATCTAGCAGAATAAGTAAAGATATTTGGGTGTTATATTTCAAGTTTTATACTTGTATAGCTAAAAGAATACATAAACATTGTGGAATTGATTAGAAATTACTCTCTATGTTTCACAAAAATGTCATTTTACAATTTTATTGCAATTTATATTTATTTTATTTTATTTTAATATTAGTTTAATATTAATTACAAAAGGCATTGCTCTTATAAATAATTATGTTTATCACAAATATAATTGGGTAAAAATGTAATTAAAAAGAACATAATATATTTTAATTATTTGTTTAATCTGTATGAATAGTGCAAGTTGACACTTTGTACGAGATGGAGAGAGTAATTGTTTACATATGTAATCCGGGAAAATGGCATATTCCTATCCAAATAATTTCAATCGTGCCAAATACAACCCAAACAAATTTCCAGTGCCAAATACGACCTAAACTATGTTATAATGTAAAAATACTACCTGAACTTTTTAAAACGTGCCTAAATCTACATTGACCGTAACAGAAGTTAGTCAACCATTAAAATGATAAAACGACGTCGGGAAAAAGGCCTATTCCTACCCAAACAATTTCAATCGTGCCAAACACAACCCAAACAAACATCCAGTGCTAAATACGACCTGAACTACGTTATAATGCAAAAATACTACCTGAACTTTTTAAAACGTGCCTAAAACTACATTGACCGTAATAGAAGTTAGTCAACCGTTAAAATGATAAAATGACGTCGTTTTGATTCTATTATTAAAAAAATGAACATTCTGGGACTCAAACCCGGGCTTTGTCACTATTTAAAACATACACATCAACCACTAGACTAAATAATTTTTTTTTAAAAATACTACAAATTTGCAATTATATATGCTACTATACTTTTTAATCTTCTCTAATTAAAATAATTTATATATGGACATATTATAAATAGTTTCAAAACATGAAATCTATTTATTTTTGTATAATTATAAATATTTTATTATTTATATTTTAGTATTTATAAGTTTATTAAATATGTTAATATATTAATAAGAATCAAAAATAATAAAAACCAAAGTTTTAATTAGAGAAGATGAAAATATATAAAAGCATATATAATTGCAAATTTGTAGTATTATTTAAAAAAATTGCTTTAGTTTAGTGGTTGATATGTCTGTTTTAAATAGTGGCAAGGTCCGGGTTCGAATCCCGGAATGTTTATATTTTAAAAAAATAATGAAATCAAGACGACGTCGTTTTATCATTTTACTTCTGTTACGATCAATGTAGATTTAGGCACGTTTTAAAAAGTTCAGGTAGTATTTTTGAATTATAACGTAGTTCATGTCGTATTTGGCACTGGAAGTTTATTCGGGTTGTATTTGGCACGATTGAAATTGTTTGGATAGGAATATGCCATTTTCCAGACGTCGTTTTATCATTTTAACTGTTGACTAACTTCTGTTATGGTCAATGTAGGTTTATGCACGTTTTAAAAAGTTCAGGTAGTATTTTTGAATTATAACATAGTTCAGGTCGTATTTGGCACTGGATGTTTGTTCGGGTTGTATTTGGCACGATTGAAATTTTTTGGGTAGGAATAGACCCTTTTCCCTATGTAATCCATATCAAATTTAAGTTTGGAGGGAGGGGGGTTCTTAATGAACCCAGAAGTTGAACTGAATTTGGGTGTTAATTGTATGTGTGTGGCATTAATATAAAGAATTCAACCTTTTTTAGGGTTATTAATGAAATTGAGTACTATAAGAGCATCTCGAAAGGAGGTTGTTAAGGAAATGTTCTTTAAGAAACCCCCCAAAAAAAGAATTAAAAAATAATAGTAATAGTAACCAGTTTTTAGAAGAGATTTTTTAGAATTAGTAAAAACTTCTAACGTGTCCATTTTTATTGGCTCCTCTCTCCCTCTCTTTGTCGCCTCTTTCTCTCTTTCGTATTTGTCTGGTAAATCAATTCTTCTATACATGTCCCAAACCTTAATTCTCTCTTCTTCATCATGTTTGATTTTGTGGATATCATCTCAATTTGGAGATTTTGAGATTCTATTTGAGAATTTAAGTTTCTTCGAATTTGGGAATCAATCTAAAAAAAGAGACATTCTTCATCATGTTTAATTTCAAGGGTATTACACTTGTATTGTAATGACATTGGTTTTGCTAAGTTTAATGACACAAATTTCTCGTGTTTTTCTATTTTTCTCTTTGAAATTCATTTCAAACTTAATTTCTTTTTATTCTTGTACATCTTAAGAAGATTGTCAACCATTAAACATTTAACCTTTCTTAAGAACCCATGAGAAGTTTTGTACTATTAGACATGATAAAATATTGCAATTCTAAAAGGTTTTTAATTTATAAAATTTTGAAAATTTATAATTAAAATAATGATAAGCATGTTTTTTTTGTAACACTAAAAAAATGATAAGCATCTATAAGAAGTTATATTACCTTTGAAGATAGTCTAAGAGAGTTTTGGAAGCTCAAAGACTGTTCTTTGATGTGAATTGCAACCGTTTTAGGTTAAGACGAGTTAATTCATACTTTTATTATTTACAATATAATAATTATATACTAATAATATTTTTGATTGTACTTAACTTAAAAATTAAAATTTCATAATTATCCTTGTGATCGGTTTAACAGAAAATGGTTTTAAATACTAAAATAGTTGATTATAATTTATAATGAAAATGATGTTTTTGTATTCATTTAAAATGAGATTAGTCTCTATTATATATAAATCATAAAAGTTCATGAATTTTGATATAATTTTTATTTTTAAAATAAATTTATTACATAATAAATGAGTTTTAATTATTAGATGGAGATAAAAATTTAAAAAATCTACGTAATCAATCAAGTTGCGCCACCACAGAGCTAAGCTAGATCACACATTTCTTTTTTTTTTTCTTTTTTTCAGCTGTTGAAGTTTTACAAGTTAAAGCTCAAATGAATCCACCTAAAAATATTCCACAATTTCAACACCCTCACTGTTGAATATTCAACAGTTAAAATCCAAGATTCTACCAATCCTATTGTGGGTGGTGTAACTGGATAAAAACATCTTGACATCATAATGCTACCACTGCATTGAAGAAGTGTTTTCTTAAAGCTGCAACCAAAAAAAATCCTTACAATATATTTGGGCTTGGGCTTATTCTGTCAAACAAAAGGGCTTCCGTTAGTTACTGTAATTAAACCCTAAAGTTCGAGAAATTAAAGGTTTTTGCCTCTCTGTCTCTACTCACCGGCGACAATCGCCGGCGGTCTCTCTCTCTCTCTCTTTGTATTCAGTGTAGGGTCGACAAAAGCTACAGATGCCTTCGAAGAAGAAGCAGCCGAGGACGCCGTCACGGCTATCCAATTCAGAACCTCCTGCTTCGCCACGAACTCCGACGTCTTCAAGCCGAGATACTGATTACATCAACGAAGAGGAACTCAGACGAGGTATAGAACAAGCTTCCGCTGCTTTTCCATGTCTTCTCGGAAAATCTGCAATCATCGGGAGAGTAATTGATGTTGCCTCCGAGTCTATCAGAGGGTCTAAGATTTGGCTGTCGGAAACTTCAATGGTCGCTGCTTCAATCATCCCTGGCTCCACTGTTTCGGTAGGAGTGAAGATTTTTGTTAACAGTTTAACATTCAAATGCTACAAAGTTTGATTCTTTTTTAGCTTTAGAGCTTAAAGTGAAGTGTTTTCATACCAAGTTAACATTCAAATGCTACAAAGTTTGATCCTTTTTAGTTTTAGAGATTAAAATGAAGCTTTTTTTCATACCAAGTTATAACATTCAAATGCTACAAATTTTGATTTTTTTTTAGATATAGAGCTTAAATTGAAGCTTTTTTAATACCAAGTTAACATTCAAATGTTACAAAGTTCGATTCTTTTTAGTTTTAGAGCTTAAAGTGAAGGTTTTTAATTCCAAGTTAACCTTCAAATGCTACAAGTTTGATTCTTTGTTAGCTTTAGAGCTTAAAGTGAAGCTTTTTACATACCAAGTTAACATTCAGATGCTGCTAAGTTTGTTTTCTTTTTTTTTTAGCTTTAGAGCTTAAATTGCAGCACTTTCATACAAGTTAACATTCAGATACTACCAAGTTTGATTTTTTCTTTTTAGCATTAGAGTTTAAAGTGAAGCTTTTTTTCTATATCATGTTAACATTCAGATGCTGCAAAGTTGATTCTTTTTTTAGTTTCATGAATGCTAATTTGAAAGAAACTGAAATTTCAATGATAGGTGTCACTTGCTTGCACAGAAAGTCACAGCTTCCCTCTCAGCTCGATTAAAGTTGAGTATGGAGTTGAATGCGAGAGTAGCGTTCCTGATGATGAGCCAGGGAACTATTTTGTTCTCGCTACCGTTTTACCTTCTTCAAAGGTCTCAAGAATCTTTCTTTTTTTACAGTTCTGATCTTTTCTTCAGTGAATATTGAATTTAACTTAGCTTCTTGCAGGTATTGAAAGATGGTGTTCGTATTTCGACGAATCTTCGCTATGGACTTGGTTGTCCTGTTTCAGGCAGGACTGTTTTTGTTTATCCTGTTTGTAAACCTTCTTCTCTAAGTGATCAGTTCAATGTTAATGGTGGAAGGCACGGAAATGATGTCAACGACCTTTCTCTGCTTGCCTGCAAAGAGTTGTCTCTGGAGTTGACTCCCTTTAGGAATATGCTACCAGCAGAAAATGACTTTCTTTCTAAAGAGAACGGAAATGGGAACTCAACAACACCTAAGACACCATCAAACTCGCAAAGGCCTAGCTCTCCGGCCTCATCAGTGAAAGGGGACTCTGTTTTGAGTATGAAGCAGAAGTTTTCGTCTGAAAGTTTGGTTGATCTTCGAGAGGTCTTGAGCAACGAAAGCTCGAAGAAACTTTTGCAGATTTGTGCAGCGTCTTGGTTACACCCTTGTACCCTTCTATATGGGAACTTTGTTGCTGTACCAGTTCTTTCGGAAACCTGTATACTCTGTGTTAAGAGGGTTAATAAAAAGGCATCTGATACGTCCAGTAGAAACCATGCTTTCGTGATAGCTCGGGAAACTAAAGTATACCTCCATCATACAATGAGCTTAGTATCTGAAAATGGAGAGAGAACATCTGTGCAAGGTCTGCAGTTTGATGACAATGATGGAGAAGAAAACATGGAATATGAAATCTCAAAGTTAGGTGGTCTTTCTAAAGAATATGCAATTTTGAGGGACATAGTTGTTTCCTCCTCCACAAAAAGTTCTTTATCAAGGTATGTATTGCAGTTGCCTTATAGATTTTTGTTATATTTTTAATATGTTCATGTGTTTATTAACTGCATGTTCATTTCAGTCTTGGTTTGCGACCTACAAAGGGAGTGCTTATTCACGGACCTCCAGGCACAGGAAAGACATCTTTGGCTCGTTCATTTGCCCTTGATTCTGGTGTCAACTTTTTCTCTGTGAATGGAGCTGAGATTATAAGGCAGTATGTGGGTGAAAGCGAGAAAGCTCTAGAAGAGGTTTTCAGATCTGCTAGCAATGCTGCACCTGCTGTGGTTAGAGTTTTGCACATTCCTCTTTATTATATACCTAAGCTTATTGAGATGTGGTGAGTAATTCTGTTTCTTGTAAAGGTATTCATTGATGACTTGGATGCAATTGCCCCTGCAAGGGAAGAAGGAGGGGAAGAGTTGTCACAGAGGATGGTAGCTACATTACTGAATTTAATGGATGGAATAAGTAGGAGTGATGGCGTCGTTGTAATTGCTGCAACCAATAGGCCTAATAGCATTGAGCCTGCCCTTAGACGACCGGGAAGACTTGACAGGGAAATTGAAATTGGTAAGTCTTGTTGTTACCATCCTCGTTATAGCTTTGATTCTTACTCTTTGATACTTGTTTTCTTAATATAGGTGTGCCATCTTCTGCACAACGGTTCGATATACTTAGGACTATTCTCAGTGGGATGCAGCATTCACTTTCGGACACGCAGCTTGAACAACTTGCTGTGGGAACTCATGGTTTTGTAGGTGCAGATCTAGCTGCTTTATGTTGTGAGGCAGCTTTTGTCTGTTTAAGGAAGCATCTTGATCAAGAAAGTTCATCTACTGCTTCTGAGTGTAGAGGTTCTGAGTCCTCAACAAATATGGTAGATGTATCATGTGATAGTTCAGATTCTGCATCGTCATGTATCACAGTTTCACCCTCGACTTCAGTGGCAAAGGATTCATTTAGTTTAAATGGGACAGTCTCCGTAGTAGCAGATAATTTTGAAAACAGTGGCAACTCTTGTTCTGAAAAGATGCTTATCAAAGAAGAAGGAGAACATAGCTTGAGTGTAGGATTTGAAGATTTTGAGAAAGCAAAAATTAAAATCAGACCTAGTGCCATGCGTGAGGTAAAACCCATCTTATTATATCTGACCTTATGATGAGCTATTCCTAATATCTGTCTTATAGATTTGTCTCAATCTAATTTCTGGTTGATATGCAATCCTCAGGTGATATTAGAGGTACCTAAAGTTAACTGGGAAGATGTTGGTGGCCAAAAGGAAGTGAAAAACCAACTAATGGAAGCAGTAGAATGGCCTCAAAAACATCAAGACGCATTCAAGAGAATAGGGACAAGGCCACCAAGTGGGATACTAATGTTTGGTCCTCCTGGATGTAGCAAGACCCTTATGGCACGTGCAGTAGCTTCTGAAGCGGGGCTGAACTTCCTTGCAGTCAAAGGTCCAGAGCTCTTCAGCAAATGGGTTGGTGAATCAGAGAAGGCTGTGAGGTCTCTTTTTGCAAAGGCAAGAGCAAATGCTCCCTCCATTATCTTTTTCGATGAGATAGATAGTCTTGCATCCATTAGAGGGAAAGAGAATGATGGTGTTTCGGTTTCAGACAGAGTTATGAGCCAACTTCTTGTGGAGCTCGATGGTTAGTAACATTCAACTTTGTGATTGTTTTAGCTAAATGTTCTAAAAGCTGAAATTCTTATTGCTTGACTTTTTCAAACTCAGGTTTGCATCAAAGAGTTGGTGTTACTGTTATTGCTGCTACAAATCGGCCTGACAAGATAGATTCTGCTCTTCTAAGACCTGGTTAGTGTCTTTCTTTCATTGATTCTTTTGATTTTTGCAAACAAATATGGAAGTTTGTTTTGTGCAGTGTTCTAAAAATCGGTATAGGCGCCCGTAACTATATTTTAAAACGATTTTAAAAGAACTGATCTAGGCGTTCAAAAAACAGTATCAATTGGACTTCCGCCTAAACATTAATCTTCTATAAAACACCTAACCACTGCATAACCATATTTAACATTTGAAAAACCGGTCTAGACGTTAGGCGAAACATACATCTTCTATAAAACGCCTAACCACCACCTAACGATTTATTTTGAACATTAGTTTTGTGACATTGAATATGTTATGTAATGTTGCAGGGCGTTTTGACAGATTGCTATATGTTGGACCTCCTAATGAAGCTGACCGTGAAGCAATACTCAAAATCCATCTACGCAAAATTCCTTGCAGCTCTGATATATGTCTAAAAGAGCTAGCTTCTATTACCAAAGGGTACACAGGAGCTGACATATCATTGATATGTAGAGAAGCAGCTATTACTGCACTCGAGGTTATCTTCTTTTTTCATCTTAGTCAGATGAAAGTGTCTCATTTATTAGTTGGGGTGTCTCACATTGGTTAATCAATCAGGAGAGTCTTGAAGCAGAAGAAATAAGCATGCGGCATTTAAAAGCAGCGATCAGCCAAGTAGAGCCAACAGATATTCAATCTTACAAAGCATTGTCTGAAAAATTCCAAAGACTTGTTCACACAGATCCACAAAGAGACAACGAGGAGGTTGAACTGCAAGGAAACATAAGCCAAAAAACGTCATTTTCTTTAAGGCAAGCAAACCTCTTACTAAGCTAAAGGCCTCTTATCTAGTTTTGATACTTGTCACAAGCATTGGTGGTTATTGTTTTCCAGGACGCCATTGAGATCGATTGTGATGTTCCTTCGCCGCCAAATTGCTTAGCAAACGGTTTGAAGCAGCAGTTATATCATCATACCTATAGCATTTTGTCTATTTTAAGTCTTTGGTCTTGTCTCACGAGTTTAGAAGAATCAAAGTATATAAAACATATGATATGTGTGGACTTGGAAGACAGACTCGTATCTCGTGCAATGAAATCTAGAAGTTATCCACTCAAGACTATTGAATTTCACAAGATTAATAACTGTACGTACAGACGACAGAGAGTCGAAGATTGAAATTAGGACAAAACTGAAACTGATTAATAAAATGGATGGTCATAGAACATAATGAAGACAGGAAAAAAGAAAACAAACTAGAGGCTAACAAGAAACAAGCAAATAAAGGGAATATTAGTGCAGTAGTGCTTACTTATTAGTGCAGTAATGCTTATAAATAGAATCAGTTAAACTCCTTGAGTCTCTTCTTGAGCATGTCCATGGACTTCTTCTTAGCCGTAAGCTTAGTGTTTCTATTCGCGAGACTTCCGAATATCCCATCTGGAGAATCCTTAAACTTGTCGCAGATCGTTGCCACTTTCTTGTAATCCAAAGTATTGTAGTTCCTCTCTCTAATCACTGGGTTCATGAAGTTCTCAGGTTGGCTACTCGACAACAAGTTTATAAGCTGTCTCACTTCAACCAGATAGCTTCTAAAGCTTCCTTCTTTGTATATCTCGTCTAACCCCGTTGAATGATACCTCTCATCAGCGAAATTTTCTATCACTCTCAGGTCATGGTTAATGGCCGAGACTGCGTTGGCGTTGAATCTCTTGAGGGTATCGCTTAGGAACGTTGAGACGATGGCGTTTGAGATATGCTCTATCGCACCAACTCCAACTTTGTATAAAGCATCCGCTGGGAGGATCTGTTGTGCTGTTGACATCACAGTCTCTAGGTATATAACGACCTCGTTCATGTACTCGTGAGGACCTTGTGGCATCTCCTCTGTGATCCAGTTTATGTTTTCTGGAAGCTTCATGAACTCGTCCAGTTTTGTGTTGACCACGTTCAGCAACGCGTGATAGGCTTCGTCTCTTGACGTTTTGAGGACAATCTTTGCAGATAAACTAGCTTGTGGCTTTTCAACTGAACGGCTCGGGATGCCACAGAGCTGAGCTGCGTGGCGGAGGAAATAGTCACATGCCTTCTCGAGGAAAGATATGTTTGCAGCAATCTGCATAGCTTGAGCTACACCAATGGAGTTGTTGTTAATCGTCTCGAGGATAACTTCGTTCAATACGTCGATCAAGATTTTGTCAAGGTACTTCCTCAGAACACTGAAGAAGTTTGTGTTCACACCATAGGACAAGTAATCAACAGATCCTTTAATGTATGATCTGATGATGCGGCAAACATCGGGAACCATTGAAGAGAAAGGCGCAATGTATGTGAAAGCCGGCATGATCTCTGATGTCTGGAGATTAAAGGACAAGACGTTGTTCTCGTAGTCAGCTTCTTTCCTGATTACCATCTGCTGATAACTGTCCTCTGAGATAGCAGTCACGATTTGCTTTCGACACTCTTCAAGAAGAAGCTCATGGTACTTATCTCGGCTCTTGTCAAGGGCGTCAAGAAATGGACCAACTTCATAACCGTACTGTCTAAGCGTTGCGCCGAGGAGAGTTACATAGTCTTTCACCAAAAGGAGATGAGTAGGAGAATCCATTCTAGCAAACTGGTTCTCCAACACCAATACTATTTTGGCAATTGCTGTTTCCCACATCGTCTCAACTTGATCAGCCAATAAGAAATCACCAGCTGTTCTAATCACACGATCCTCAACAATAAAGTATCCTGCAATCTGAGCTAGAAATGTTTGGTATGACTCCACAAACGGCTGTCCATAAGAGATCTCAAGATCTGAATCAAGCTGTAGTTGCCGATTACTATAGTAATAGTCACGGAACCGTTCTGGAACTCCAAGAATAGTGTGGATGTGATAAGCTCGATATAGAGGTGTCAGATCAAACTTCAACACAGAATCTTGTTCTGATTCTTCAACATGTAAAGTGTATGCCGATTCTCCCAATCCACCTGTGTTTTGCTCCTCCGCTTTCCTCTGCCGCTCCAACATTTCTTCCTCCCTCTGGCGAGCTGAAGCGATAAGTCCAATAGCTGTCTGACCAATACTTTTCGAGGAGCTCCTAATGTGAGCAAGCCACTCAGTAAACTGACTACACACTTTCTTCTCAATGTGAGACTTAATCACTGGGATCCTTCTCTCTATCGCCAACTTCAAAACCTTAAGTGGGATAATCTTCAAATAATTCCTCTCAATCAAATCCATCGTCTTCAACGCATGATAAAACTGCCCTTCAGAGACATAACTGTTACACTTAACACAAAGCTCCAGCGCCTGAACACAGATCTTCGACATTTTAATAGCTTCAGTCACATTCTTCTTAACAGCATAAGACTCAAGAAGCTCCTCCAGCTTCACCAACAACGCACTCCCAACCTCCTGCAACCTAAAATTATCGGTGGCAAGATCACTCTTAAGCTCCTCAGCATCAACCAACACACCACGAAGCTCATCAACAGCAACAATAAATTCCTCATAGTGCGTCTTGCAAAGATCCTCAATTTCAGTTTCCTTTTTCTTCGCCACGTTTTTAAGCTGGTGAACAAGAGGCTCAGGCCTCCCCATCTCGAAAGCGTGTCTAACGAGAGGCCCTACATCGTCTCCGTTTCCGATCAAAGTTGCGAGGACTAAATCTTCCCCTGTGTCTCCGTTCTCTGTAACAATCCTTCTCTTTGGTTTAGCCTCCATCAATCTGAAAAAAAAAACAAGAATAAACCAATCAACACCTAATTAATTAGCAATCAAAAATTCATTAAAAAAAAAACAATTTATCTCAAATCCCTAAAATATCAAAAAAAAATCAACATAAAACCAACCAAATCCTAAACGAATCTAAGAATCACCAAAACCAAAGCTTAATTTAATATATACACGAAAATGAAGAAACGAGACTCATAAGGAAACAATCAATCTGATCACATCGAGCATATGATCCTTAACGCATTCTAACGGTAAAGCATCTACAATGAAGGAGAAGGAGAAGAAGAGAGAGAGAGAGAGAGAGAGAGAGAGAGGTGTGTAGCCTTTGGTTGTTCAGTATTTACTTGTAATTTTAGGGTTCAGTCACGGGAGAATAATGTAGAAGACGATAAGGTAACGAGATAACCGAAATCTACCGGTGGAAAATCAATCGACGGTGATCGATCGCCGGTCAGAATAGGCACGAGTCAGCCGCGACGGAATCAAAATATCGTTTTTGTATATGACTGAGTGTTGGATCGCTGATTTGATAAAAGAGAGATCATAAAAGATAGTAAAGTCACCCTTAATGGGCTTGGGCTTCGTTGGGCTTTACTTTATAGTTTCAAGTAGATTGGATTCTTGCAATCACGGTTGAGTCTTTCTGTGTGATTGTCACCTCTTGAGTTCAGTGCACAAAAACACATGCAGATGAAACAAAAACCAATATATATACGGCCCTCAGCCCCAAGGGGAAGCATTACAAGCAACAGCTTCCAGCGTTCAGAAAATACTTAAAAAATTCAATCTTTTAAAAAAAAATATTATTATGATATAGAAACGTTCTTATAAATATAGCCAATTTTTAGAAAATTACTTATAGTCTGATAAATAATATATATATAACTATAGTAGGGGTGGACGCAAATCGTATATCAGTATTGCTTCGGCACACTAGTTTATCCGTCAATATCTTTGATTTTTTACCAGATATTCGGTTTTTCTACGTAATAGTTTCACTACATAGGAATAAATAACAGGGAAAGCTTACTGTTGATGCTTGCTAATCTCTCTTTTCTTTGTCCATAGTAAATATTGTTTTAATTTCCATAATTTTTTTTTTTTGAAACATAATTTCCATAAACTGTATGCAGTATGCCTATACTATATCTAATCCATATGCAATAGTATGTAAAAACTTTGTTTTTGCATCTCTATAATTTGAGCCAAAGCGAAGGAAACTGAATAGGCCAACAAGTAGAGATATACATTACGTTCAACCCTCTAAAGATCTACTTCAATTATTTGAAAGATAAGCTCCACATGTTTGCCCAAATTAATGATTGGAATCTTAAAAGAGTCATTAGATGTTTTTTGCTATTCTCAGATATTTATGTTTATTAATTAATGGTTTCTTTTAACCAAAACACTTATGTGTGTTTTTTTCATTGATCATCTGCACTAGTAAAGAAACAGATGTTACAACCACGTACTGAACTAACTGGTTTCCATAATACATTTTTATGAAGAATTGATTTTGCTTTTGAAGTGTTTTCTTTACACACGCATGTATCTTTCTACTATCTATAATCTTCATAACCTTTACGTTACATGTCGATATCTCAATATATCCATTAGATATTACAATAAGTTTGTAGATAATTCCAACATCAGAACTAAAGTTGGCGATCACTATCTCATAACTCAATTGCAGATAGATTTAATGTGATTTTATATATCTAGTTTGAGACTTGATTTCTTTACTTTTTTAAGAAACCGAGTGTTAGCCTTAAATGTGTATAGACCAGTACTAGACATTTATGTTTTTCTAGATCTCTACAATCAAAATATAGTCATGTCGATGTATTGGTGATGAGATGATATATTATAACTTGTTATGGGTACAAAGATGTAACATATCTTCAATTCTTTTTCATCTATAAGGATAATACTATATTATAAAAGATGGACAAAAGCTCGAGAACATACACTTTTTCTATTATTTAATTAGGAATGTGTTTGCTAGCTAAACGCTACACATTTTACAATTGCAAAGCTAGAAGTTGTTATATGTCTTATTATCGATAGAAAAGAGAAAAAGGAGAAAATAAAGAGAACATACGACGAGAAAAGTGGGGTGCGTAGTTGCTTTGATGAAGAAAAAAAAAATTGAAATCACAACTTTTGTCTTTTGATAATATAAATGCTTATGAATATGGTTGTATGATTGAGCTACGTGCACTGTATATGTATGTATCAGTCAAACTTCATTATTTGTAAAAGCGATTCTCTTTTTGAACCCTTTTGAAAATATATACTTGATTCTTTTCTACCCTTTTTAGTGAAAACAATTCTATATACTTAAAGTTGTAATCTCGTGTTTGTGCTTAATCTTTGACCATCGATTTATCAACAGTTGGTAATTACAGTATTTTGAACAGTTTCATAAATTAGTCATTTGGTAAGTTTAATCATTATAATTTACAAGATCAATAGCTTTTTTATTATTCTATACACTTTCATTTTGCTTTGAACGTTTTATAAACGAACTAACAGAAGAAAAAAAATTAGAATATGTAAGCGAAACAAATAGTTATACAATCCAAATGATATTTCTTAATGGACAGAAACTCAACTCAAGTCTGAACATAATTAAAACATTTCATGTTTTACAGGTTCTTCATGCCTTAGCCGGTGGAATACTGGAATATAGATTTTCTTTTATGTTTTTTTTGAAACACAACTTACTTTTATTCATCAACTTTCGTGACTTTATTTTATGTTTAATCTCATTTTGTAAGCATTTATCTCGTCAATTTAGAAAACTCTACACGTGAGAATTGTGTTAACAAAACTGATAGATTCTGTACAAATAAATTCTATAGAGACCGGCACTTGAATGATATATAATAAAAAAAAAACAAAGCAATAAGAAGAGAACAATACATGTTTCTGTTCAATTTTGGTTTGATTCCCCCTTTTATATTTAAATAAAATTAATATCTAATTCAGATTGGATTGTTATTTTTTGACTTTTGGTGTAAGTTATAGTTCAGTGTTCTAGCAATAATTATGTATGTATATTTTTAGTTAAAATGCATTTAAGTTAATTTCAAATTAATTAAGGAAGTATATTTCTTCCAAAATGTGATGTTATTTGTGTGAATATCATTAGAGTGGTAGGTAGGGTATTGGAGTATATATAATCTCAAAATTTATAATTCTAATTTGGAACATATTAATTATGAATTATGGATAGAGAACTGGTTGAATATGTGTTAATTTCAACCAGGAAGTCATTACTCAAAATTGTCGGTCCAAAATGCGAGTGGGTAGAGATGAAATTGCAAATGCTGGAATATGATTAGATGCCCATCTGGATTTGTTTGCATCTTTGTTTCCATTTTTCTTTGGTACCCAAAAACGCACCCACATTCTTCATCCCACTTATCCTTCTTGTCTATCTAATTTTGTATTATATTTATTTGTCTAACCAAATCTTCTATGTAAATTTTATAATCGAGAATTTAGCATCTTTACAATACCCATGTTTTATTCCCATCAGTCAGTCCATCTCGTGTAGCCATTCTAATATAATTTTCGATTTGTGAATCTATGTGAGCCGTGAATTTGGAAGCATATAATTCCAAATCTCTAAGCATAGAATATATTCCAATATATTTATATCATACCATCACAGCATTTGTAACAGTTACGTCTACACATGCATAAAATATGGTGCAAAATAAAATACTTATATTTATATATTTTGTGTACATAGTCTGATGCATAAAGTAAGAGTTAAACAACGGTGAAACTAATCAGTTGCACATGTAACGATTAAATGTTGTGTTACGTCTGATGCATAGATGATAGTATGATACCCATTTTCAGTAACATTTTTAGTAAAAAAAAAACAATGTGTAACCTTAACCTCATATCAATCGTCCTCTTCTCCGTCATCTTAGTGCGCCACCTGAACCGCCTTCTCTTTGCTTAAATTCCATATTGCTTTGAATAGTAATGTACAGAACAATTTCAATACAGTTTAAATAGTAACAAAAACATATAGATACATAGATAATTATAATGTAAACAATAATACTCCACCAGCATTCTGATCAAAAACTCTATTATGAGATATATAACCAACCCATATTTGCTATGATATGCCAACATACATGTATTTACTTTTTCAAAAAAAAAAACATACATGTATTTACTAGTAGCATGAACATGATATATATTCACATAATGTAATATATTCTACTCCAACTCTTAACATTCAAAAGATAATCATATCATGTGGATATTAGATATATAAATTCTAAATGAATCTTAGTTGATTTCACTATGTTCCAAGCTCGTCTAACCAAGTATACAATATATATATATCCACCACACATGTTATATAGATATATTATGAATCACGCTTTCGTCAAATTGATTTGGAGAAATGAGTTTGGCAAAAATCTTCCCCAACTTTGTCAAGTATCCAAATACTCTCGGTTAAAGTAATATTAGTGAACCCTAGAGAAGGTAGTGGATCATGCCCAACTTGATTTATTTTAATTTTTTTTAAAAAAAAATTAAAGCGCTAACAACATAACGAAGCACCCGCGGTGGGATCTTTTATTCAATTTAATTAATTAAAATATATTTTATTCTTAAATGTCTTTGTTAAATAATATATGTATTCTACACTTTAGATTATAAGTATATAACTAATGCGGTCCATACAGATTAAATTTAGAAACGCACTAATTATTAAAAACAGTTGCATGTTGCTCGACTAGTTCTATATTTTATTCGGGATTTCATTTTCTTCAAGCTGTCAAATGAAAACATATATTTGAATAAGGATGATAAAGTTGTGAACCATACGAAAAATATCAAATGTTCTAGTGTTTTAGTGTCAATCGTTAGATAATTAGCATTTTAATTTTCTACGTATTTGTGTTTCTGCTAATTGATTAATTGTATCAGCATTCACGGGGAAGCTTTAATTATCACACCTATGGACTATGATATGGTTTTAGTGCCTCCGCAAAACCAAACCACACTTCAAAGCATTTTGCAACATTCATCTGCGGGACCCACAAAGAACGTAAGCTTGGGTCCCATCCTGTTTCTACTGCCACTTGTAGTTCACTCCGTCTACTTGTGTTTCGTGAGGTTGGAGCCTTGGAGGGGATTGTGTGTTCACTGATCATTAGAGCAGTTCCAACAAGTATTTTTCATTAGAGTTCTAATAACTACTCCCTCAATTTCAATTACTTTAATTTTTTTCATACAAATTAAGAAAACTAAGAAAAACTATATTTGTCCATCGTTAATACATTGACAAAAAAAATCTCTCCAACTAATACAGGAGATTAATGAAGTTAAACTCAAAGTATTGTCTACAAATTTGATTTAAAATTGTAAAAGTGATACTTTTCATAAAACAAAATTAAAATGCCAAAATAACTCTTTTTAAAAAAACAGAGGGAATAATCTATTCTAAAATAATAGAATAAGAGGAGAGAGTGTGAAATAAAATTTTCAAAAAGAACCTACAAGAAACTCTAGAGATACATTGACATCACATTTTTATTATATTGGTTCAAATATTTACAGGAAACAAAAAAAATACTAAAATATTATATTACATTTAAGTCTCATTATTTTAAAGTTGAGAAAGTGGATTTTAGAGATCAACCGTTATGGTTGCTTTTACGTATTCATTTATATTTCCATTTTCATTGGTTTAGGATATTTTTTTTGTTTTAAAAATGTGCATATATCTTAAAATGAATAATCTCAAATGTTAAAAACATTATATGCACACTGATTCAAAGTGACATTAACCAAAAAAATATCACGTATATCTTAAAAATGAATAAACTCAAATGTTGAAACATAAAATGCACTTGATTTTAGATGAGTTTGTAGTTTATTGATTTCTTATTAGCACGATTATTGCGTTACTATCTTAAAATGTTATATGCATTCCATCTCTCTTTACTCTTGAGTCTTGACTCTTGAGAATAGTTTGGTGCAACCCGAAAAAGAAATCGAAGATAATTCTAAAAGAATCGAAAACGGAATAATAAATGTGAACGTCACTAAAAGGTAAAGAAAAAAGAAATATCAGTTACAAATACATATATATATATATATATATATATTATCAGAAAAGAAACAAAAAAGGCATTCAAACTCATCCGAATACGATGCTCTCTATAAATACATAGAACCTCTCACCACTTTGTTCGTAAGAAGAGCACAAGCCAACCCACAGTAAAAAAAAATTATAAAAAGAGAGATTATTTTTTAACATGGGGTTAAAGATGAGGGAATCAACCAAGCCCTACTTTGCAATGGTATGCCTCCAATTCGGATACGTTGGCATGAACCTCGTGACCAAAGTTGTGCTGGACCGTGGCATGAGCCATTTCGTCCTTGTGGCTTATCGTAATGTCTTTGCCACAGCTGCTCTCGCACCTTTCGCCCTTCTCTCCGAAAGGTAAGTATTAGTTCTATGATAGAACTTCTATCTATATGCGCTAATTAGATACTTAATCATTAAACCATTACTGAGAAAAGTAAATGTTATTTTGAATGTTCTAGGAAAACGAGGCCGAAGATGACTTTCCCAATATTCATGCAAATATTTGTACTAGCTCTTCTTGGGTTAGTCTTCTTTTTTGTTCGTTTGAGATGTACTCCTTCCGTTTCAGAATGATCTATGGTTTAGAAGAAAAAAAATGTTTCTAAAAGATCTATGTTTAATGTAAATAACAATGACAAATTGCAAATCTTAAAGATTAATTATATTTACTGAATTTTGATTGGTTAAAAACAATATAAAATAACTAAACACAGAAAATAATATATTTATTATCGAAGAAAATATTTTTTTTTAATAAATGTGAAAACTCTAAAATATATATTATTTGGAAACAGAGAGAATCTACACTGTATGATTAATTATTTTTTGTGAATCTGTAAAACAGGCCTGTGATCGATCAGAACCTATACTATGCTGGTCTTAAACTCACTTCACCGGCTTTTGCCGGCGCCGTCACCAGTATCGTGCCTGCTTTGACATTTATCATTTCCATAATTTTTAGGTACTTAAATTTAAAGCATAACTTCAATATTAGTTACAAATAATACAGCAGGTTAATACAATATGTTAATTTATAGTATACAATAGGCTTCGTTGATACTAATGTATGATTCAAATGGTTTGGTTATAAAAAAGGATGGAGAAGGTGGAGATTAAAAAGGTAAGATTCCAAGCAAAGGTGGTGGGGACATTAGTGATAGTGGTTGGAGCCATATTGATGATTTTATTCAAAAGTCCTTTAATCATCTTTCTCCGGTCTCACCTCATCCACGATGCTTCGTCGCTGGCCGGCGAGGACTACCTAAAGGCCACCGTCTTTCTCCTCGTCGCCTCACTTTCTTGGGCTTTTTTCTTTGTTCTTCAGGTATATATATACTTCGTTAAGTACAAGTTTAATTTGTGATATTTTTACTAACATTTTGTTCTAACGAGTTAGGAAAATATTTTATTAGTTTCTTTATTTTTTAAAAATATTGTAAAATTTTTTCAATCAAAACATGTTTACATCTACTGCATCTGTTATTGTTTGTTTAAAGAATCAAACAAAAATTTTAATAAACAGAAGCAATAAACATGTTTATTTGTTTTCTTTAGGCGGTTACGTTGAAGAGATACTCATGTCACATTTCATTATCCACGATGGTGTGCTTCATGGGAACGTTACAGTCCACATCACTAACGTTTGTGATGGAACCAAACCTTTCAGCATGGAACATTGGCTTTGACATGAACCTTCTAGCCTCTGCTTACGCGGTTAGTCCCTCTATATATTAAATCGAATTAAAACGCTTAGTAATTTGATTTGTGAATAAATATATACTTTTATAGGGTATAATGACTTCGAGTATAGCTTACTACGTTCAAGGGATGATGATGACACAAAAAAGCCTTGTCTTCGTCACTTCTTTTAACCCTCTTATTGTCATTATTGGATCCATCATTGGCTTCCTTATCCTTGGCCAAAGTATATACCTTGGAGGGTAAGCAACTAATGAACTTTGACTAATTATGTCACATGGTTCCATCCTTAAATTGTGTCTAAACTACTACAATTTTTTAGGGTTCTTGGAATGGTGATATTAATGGTGGGAGTTTGTGGGGTTATGTGGGGAAAGGAAGGGGATGAAGAAGAGAACAGTGATGATGAGGAAGTGTTTGTAGAAGTTGTCAAGTGTTGTAAAGGCTGTAGAAACAATAGTCTCTCGATGCCAAGAATTGATGAGGAAGTTGATGTTGAAATGCAATTTACAGGGAAAAGCTAAGACCGTGGTGGCTTTGTTTGTAGTCTCGTGAGTAAATAAATGTTCACGAGCTTAATTAGATGTTTAATGTCCAATTTTTTGTTAACTAGAGGAGCAACTTTTTATTTTTTATTTGTTCTATATTCTGTTCCAACCTTTTGTTTTTAGTTTTTGTTTTTTTTATTGAGTAGGAGTTATGTTAAATAAATGTTTTAAATCTCTTAGACCAATGAGATTAATAGTCATGCTCAAAGACCAATCAAATTTGACCATATGCGGTCTCAAATTATATAGAAGCCATGTTTAAAAATCTGTTAACTATTTTTTTGAAACTAGAAGTTCTAAATTTGGAACTATAAATAAAACAATTAAAGTTTTAGACTATATTTTTATACATATATTTGGAAAATTAACTCTTTTTTGTTAGATTAAGGCTCTAACTAGCAAACATATTAGGAACATATTAGGAATAGTGAAAACAAATAGGAAAAGAACAAAAAGAAATAATATAATAGGAATGAGTGAGAATAATTGTTCTTTCTCAAATTTGGTAAATAATAATTTTACTGTATTATTTTCTACAAACAAAGAAATGAGAGAAAATGAAAATGAAAAATCATTCCTTCTAAATGGTATATTTTTATAAGAATAATAAGGATTTGAATGTTCTTCCTCATTTCCTTGATCACTATTCACACTCTAAAAATATTTTTCAATCATTCTAATTTGCACATGGTAAAGACAGTCATGACTTTGTGTTATGTTATGTGTCTATGTAGGGAATAATTATAGATTACATTAAACTGAAAAACGTTGGGCAAAACACAATAACCATACTTATAAGAAAAAAAACACAATAACCATAGAAACTTTAGTTACATAAATATCAGTTACATTAGTCATTTTCTTGTAGATATTTAATGTTTCATCAACATCAAGAAAGAAGAACTTAACAAGTAGTTTGGATAGGACGGCCTTAACAGTTTGCTCGTCTCATCTTCCATTTGTCTTCTAATTGTATCAAGTCAATAGTTTTAAAACCCTACATACACTCTTCAAGTCAATAGTATAAACACATGAATCTTAACTTCATCTCTGTTTGGTTTGTTCTTTTTCACCGTATACTTTCTTTAATAACTGTTGCCTCAGAATTTGCAGGAAGATCCAAATCTTGGCTTTGGTCCCTTGCTTGTTGACCCTTCAAGTGCTTCTGGCAAAAGCACCTGGAACATCTGCAGAAACATCTCCCATTCCTCTGCACTCATGTCCCCAAAATAAACACCTTCTGTGTCATCTTGATTCACACAAACAGGATGGCTCTTGCTCCTCACTAGACTCCTATCATGAGTACTAATCCAAGAACTCATCATGAGAGCAGATAGATTAGCTGAGAAGGATGGTGCTCTTGGAGACACTTGACTCATCTCTTTGCATTTTTTATCTTCAAACTCATCATCAAAGTTAAAAATACAGCACTCTATCTCAGCCTCTACTTCATCCCACTCACTACTATAATCATCATCACCATCTTCTTCTTGATAACTTCCACCAACCACATTTTCTTTTGCTTTAGTGCAGAGAATCTCCAAGAAACTAGAACTCTCTTCACCTCTGCAGATGTCTCTAGTCATCTTCTCACCAATCTCTGCAAGACACAGCCCTGAAGCAGCTGCTTGTTTCAAGAACATAGTACAAACAATAAGAACTCTGATAGAAGACTCCTGTATAGACCCTAACTCAGTTCTCAAAAGCTCTGCATCTTTGAAAGGGTCAAGATTCGATATATACTGAAGCTCAGCATCAGTGAATGGAACAGAAGCTTGAGGCCAGTTAAGCCATTCAAAGTAAGGATCATCAAGACATTCAGGTAAGCAAAGACCATGATCTATAGGCACTAGCTCACCAGCTCCAACTCCATCTTGGTCATGTACCTTCTTCACCAACATGTTTCCAGCATGTCTGTCTAAGTTCAAGACTCTCACATCAAGTATCCCAATCCTATGGACAGACCCAACAGTGAAGCTCCCTGGTCCAAGCTCTCCTGCATCAAAATCATGACCTACATACCGTTGCAAAGAAGCTACCTTATCAGCAGCTTCATTGCCATGGAAGGGAACATGTGAGATTCTGACCAATGCTGTTGGTGGAACGCTGGAGAAGCCTTGGTGGTCTAAGAGGTAAGCAGCTACTTCTCGGATTCCGGATTCACCAACCCGGATAGACCGTTTTAAACCGGGTTGTCCTAGCATCAAACCACCACCAGAGCCTTTAGGGTTGTTGAAAGCTAAAGGCTCCTCATCAACAGGCTTTGCAACAGCAATACTATGACCTTGTCCGGTTTGCAAAAGATAAGCACCTCCTAAGCCACTTGGTAAAAGCAGAGGCTGAGCTCCTGAAGCCATAGCTATGGTTACTTCAGCTACAAGGGAACGTATGGTTGGGACTCTTTGACCACCAATGATCTCTATTTTTGGAGAAGCGTCTTGATTTTTGGAGGTGATGGAGAAGCATGGAGAGGAGACGCTTCTATGGTTGAAGGAGTGTGAAGAGGTGAGAGTTGTTGGTTTGGTGTTGAAGTTTAAAAAGTTGAAGTCTAGGTTGGTTAGAGATTGGAGTCTGCATCTTTGTGAAGATCGGTTTAAATGTGTGAACCGGTCGGTTAATGGGTCTAGAGCCAAGGCCATACAGTTCATGCCAGTGTTTCTCAGATTAATTATGGCACTCTTCAATCATTTAAAAGTGTTCATTTCTTTGAATGGATTTGATTAAATATACATAGCACCTGCATTATAATCTTCTTTATTCAGTTTCTTGAATATGATATAACATGTTCTTGGAATATATAATATGCAATGACCTTAATAATCCCTCGCTCCTTTAATTGTAAATCGCCGCAAGTTTCTGAAAAAATCCAAACCAACACAATTAGAGAAACCCTAATGATTGCGTGAAGAACAAGTCAACATGATTTGATGATGTTTAAGCGTACCCTGAATACAGGTGAAGGCATTCAGGGAAAGAACGAAGAAAGATTGAACAAAGAGAGCGTCAGAGAACCGACACTGTCACCGGAGAAAAAAAAACAATATTCTGGGACTCCCCTCCCAGACTTCCCCTCCTTCTCCTTTGTCTTTTTCAAATTTAGTTTTTTTTTTCTATTTTTCCATCTTCTTTCTTCTAAATTTATTTAGGTGCTATAAATGTTTTGTTTTCAATTCTTACCTACGTTTCTGATTTTCCCGCTTTTGTAGGAGAGCAAAACCAAAATGAAAATTTGCCATAAATAGACATAGAAAAACTTGTTTTCTTAGTTACAATGAAACCGTTGTGGTTTGGTTTTTGATCATATAATTTAACTTTTAGTACTCAATATTGAGAGATCATCATCATCGAGCGGAGAATGTATGGCTTGAAATGTGAAGACCACAATTTGTATGAGACTTTTATATACAAAAACAGAGATTTTTATATATAAGTTTTTCTTTTCTTTTCTCGGATGTTAGGTAGCAATACACACTTTTGTGTTGCAAACCTCAACAACTCTTTTACAAAAACTCTCTTCATATGTCCATTACATACATTTTTTAGGCCTTGCGTTTCTTTATACAATTACCTTGGGATGTTGTATCCGGATGAGTTCTGCTTTTACGAACTGCTGCTTCTTTTTTCTACAGCTTGAGCGTTTAAAGCAGTTTCTTCCGGCGCTTTTTTATGTTTACAGACAAATGATTACAACGGCTACTATTACAAGCAGCTTCGTTGATGCCCTTTTGAAGGTTGGACCCATGCTCGCTGAAGCTGTTATAAAAACAGATTTCAGATTTGAGATGTTTCAGTGAACCAACAAACACCCATGGATGCAGGTGGTGAGAAAAGAAAGAAAGACTTACATGGAGTGGGAGAAGGTGCCGGAGTTTTTTCACTGACTGGTCCTGATTCTGGAGTGTTTCTCGCTGGAGGTGGAATATGAGCAAACACGACGTGTGGAAGTGGGCTAGATACTGGAATAGCATGATGATGATGACTTGGCGGGGTAGGGTTTGGTGCTGATGCGTGTTGCTTAGACCGGTTTGGTGCCGGTGTGTGTTGCTTAGACCGGTGTGGTGCAGGAGTTGGTGCTGCAGTGTGATGGTTCAGAGCATTGTTTCCTTTTGGTCTCCTCTGCTCGTAAGGACAAGGAGGTGGGCTTCTCCGGTGTAAATGTAAGTGTTTTGTTGGCGCAGATGCTGGTGCGAAGCTCTTAGCTGCAGGTGAAGGTTCTGGAGCGAGTTCATGATGGTGGTGATGATGACGATGGTGATGATGATGATGATGGGTTTCAGGTTGAGGAGAAGGGGAAGGTGAAGGGGGTAGCGATTGGACTGGTGAATGTGGCAAGACTGAGGAAAGACGAACTTGCTTAACTTTACCAAATACGGTGTGGTTTAGGCCGAGGTTTTTGGAACGGGAGCCAGTGATAGTTTGAGAAAGCTGCTTCAACCTTGATGAGATACCGAATGTGAGCAGAACAGAAGAATGAACTATAGTAGGAGGCGCAACGGTTGAGCCTCTGGAATTTGACAAGGTTATGTACAAGTTCTGCATATTCAATCAAACAAGAGAGAACTTCAAAGTTTCAGAATCACTAGCAATAGACTGATCTTGTGGATTAGAATCGTCATACCTCATAGGGAGCCAGGTTTATACCCTTCTTAAGCTGGCTAGTGAGTTCCTCGAAGTTAGCTTGAATTTGATAAATAGAAAAGTTCAATGTGAAGTTGAAGAGAAGCTGCGCGTTCTGCAAAGGGAATACAGGATGGGAAGGGATCACAGTGATTCCTCCTGGGAATTTCAGCACTTCAAAAAGGAAAGGTTGCCCGAACAAGGACTCAGTCAAGCGGAAAGACATCTGCTTTTCGACCAGAGTTACAAAAGCAGCCTTGATCAGACTCTCGATTTCGGAAGGTATCTTAGAGTTCTTCTTCTCGGGGTCGATTGCAAAAATAACCATTGTTCGGTTCAGATTTTTCAAGCGTTCAAGCGCTAATACCACAACCTGGCTCAAGAAAAGAACCAGAATGATCAACGGGTGTATACAATATAATCCATGAAAGTTAGATAACGAGTGGTTTACTTTGATCATGGGAACGCTTATTTCATCGGTGATATCATTCTCAAGCTGCAACAAATTGTCCTTCAAGAAGGGAACTGGTTTCTCAACATCAAAACTCGCCACTATCCTGTGATCTGAAAAAAACAAACAAACACCAAAAAAGGAAAATTAGTTGCTACATCATGAAACATAAGATGAAAGAATTGCAAGGAGAAAAGCTACAAAACTCAAACTAAAACAGTCTTAAGTTACTCAATCAAACGAAACCAGCTAGATTAGACTTTCGAAAACCAATAAATCAAACTCACTTAGTCAAAACGTGTCTGCACAGCTAGGGCACACACAGTAAACTACGTTTTTAATTGATTTCCACCAACCAAACCAGCTTCAGGAACAGAGTGTACAAAAAAAACAAAATGGAGAGAACGATTTTTGATGAACTTTATTAACATAAACGGAAACAAAATCATTTGCTTTTCATGAAACATTTTTTGTACAAGTTCCATACTAAGAAAACACTAAATCAATTATTATTTTAGCTTTAAAAAAACAACATTCTGAAAACATTTACAGAAAAATCCACCTTATTAGGCAGTGTTGATTAGTGTTTACAAATACTAAATATGGAGTTCTTATCAAACACAGCTTGTGACTATAAAAACACATACTGAACTCCACAGCAAAGTTTCACATATACAACCAATAAAAGAAAACACCTAAAAATAGCAATTTCTAAGTCCACAGAGTCAATGAGAAACTATATATACATTCCCCTAAATCATCTCCTCAAAACTTCAAGGAAAAAAAAAATCCATTAAAAATTCAATCAAAGCCTGCTATAGATTCCTTTCTTCATACATTCTCATATGAATCACAAACCCCTAGATCTATGAATCCCATACCCCTAGAACTTAATCGAGGCCATTACTTCCTAATAAGAATAATACCTTTAAACCTCGGATCGAGATCTAGATCTTGAGGATCCGATAATCCGAGAAACGGAGGCAACCAAAACACGGCAGATAAAAACAAAGCAGCGGAGAAAGCGAGAATCAAAACGCATCTGATACTAAAACATCTACAGATCCGAGCAGAGCATCCTTCGTTGTTATTCCTAACCGTATCCCCTCCTCCGTCGCTCCGTGAAGGTAGATTCTGCTCCTCGCCACTATTCTTCCCCATAACAAAACTCTTTCAAACGCTCCTCTGATCGGTTTCAGATTCTTCCGCTCCCATCAAACAGACTAACGGCTTCTTATGCTTTTTAATTGTTATTAAATGGATTGGGATTGGTTGGAAGGGAGAAGACGGCGTTAATTGACGACGGAAGGGAGAATGTAGGGATGAGGGAGACGGCGGAGAGAAGGAAGGAAGGAGGGAGCTTTTCTCTCTGTTAAGTGACAATAGGAAACGAACCTTTTTTTTTCTCTCTCACAAATTTATCTTTTTTTTTTAATGTTTGTTTAGTAATTAAGAGCAGTTGTACTAGTGGGTGTGAGAGAGCTCGTGTCATTTTGAATTTCGAAAACTTTTTTTTTTTTATTCTTTATATTTTTAAAAGATTTATAAGGGAAGAGTAAAACAAATAAACAATGACATAAACATAGCATCATCATTTTTTTTTTCCCAAATACATGCAGTTGTGCTCATTTTTTTTTAAGAGAATTCTTTAAGATAATCTATTTTAGTTTTTTTTTTTGCCACCAAAGGAACCTTTAAAGAAGACAATAACTAAAAACATTATTAAGAAAATAAAAATACCTCTACAGTTAACTAATTTAACATTATGATTTAGAGTTAACTTAAAGAAAAAAATTGAAAAAAACAAAATTTAGAAAAAAGTTTGAATTGAAAACATATATATATATATAAATTATTTTTTATTTATGTATAAAATAAGAGGTAATAAGATCTTTTGACTAATTAATGAATTTTTTTGATTATTTTCTTCTTTAGCATTTTTATGACAAAAATCTGAAAATATACTATTGAGAGAATTGATTTTCTTAAAATCTAGAGTATTTCGGAAAATGCATGGAGTTGTTCAGTAGGTAAATTAGGGGATGCGCATTGGATCTGCACAAAATGAAAGATGGTCTTTAGTTAATTATAAATTTTGATTAGTGTCTTAAATCTTAATACACATATGCGATACCAAGTGAACAAAAAAAGATGTGCTTCTAGAAGCCGAGTATTCTCTTATGTGATTTCATAATTTAAATAATACTATCCGTTTTAAATAAAGAAACATATTAAAGTGCATGAAATATTTGTGAACTGTAAGGATCTCGCAAAAGATTCTAGAAAATATATCATACAAGGTTTCCTTTGTTTAAGATTTTGTTTAGAAGATAACTCTATAAAAGTATTCTAGATACTTTAAGAGTTACACATCAATCCTCACAAATGCCAGTAGGTTTATTTTTCTTGTAAATCTCCATATATAACAAAATATTAAAAACTAAAGAAGAAGAAAAAAGAAAAAGAAGAGTCTCTTTATTTTCTATCTTATGAGAAATTTGTTGGTTATTTCTCCTGCCATTGTAATTTCCAATATCATAATTTCTCAAATGTTATCTATTATTTATCTACCTATATTTAAGAGGTTTATCTTTTGTTTGCTTGTTATCATAGATATATACTACGATTTAAGACACTAATAAGAGTTTCTAACCTAACTAAAAACTTTGTTTTTAGCTTCCGAAATCTTGACAGTTTTTGTGCAGATTCTTGTATCATCTGCTTCACCTACAAAATAACTTCTGAAACCACAGTCTTTTAGCCGATCTTTTAGTTGTTTAGGAATTATTAAAATCTAAAAGTCGACTGATAATATATATTTAAACAGGAAATGAAGTTTATATATTCCATACAATTTTAGAATGTAAAGAGAGGAACTAAAAAAGATTCATATAAATTGGTTTCTTAGAAAGGACTTTAAAGGTCTTATTTATTCTAATTATTCGTGGTATTGATAAAATGAGTATTCCGTTCCAAATGATGATTTTTTTGAAATTAATAAAAATAAATCATTCCACGTCATTTCATTCTAGTAATCAACAATCCAGTTGCAGTCTTATATTAATTAACATTAGCATATGTTATTTTGTATTTATGAGATATGATAATGTTAGCAAAGGTTATCTTGAATCTATGAATTGTATACTATATTTATAATAAGGATTTTAAGAAAAATCATTTGTTAAACTTGTTTAATGTGTGGTTTATTTTTGGAAAAAGGGCTTTGTTTAATAAGAAAACAGTCATTATAACCCCAAACTTTTAAATTAAAGCCAAAATATCCAACTCGTGTTTGAGCCATACAAATTTCCAACTTTCAAATATTGGTTGTTTTAACTCTCATATTTTGTTGACTCGGTTATTTAAGAAACTCGAATAGTCAACTTTTAAATGCGATTATAAAAATTGATATATGTTAACTCTGTAAACAATGTCGTTTTAAAAAATCAGTCAAACAACGTTGTTTTGCTTCTTTTAAACACTTAAAACATTTCTTTCGCAAAACTAAAGTCTCAAATCGACTTTATTTTTTTACTTGAAATGAGCAAGATAAATTCTATTTGGAGTTCTAGTTACGTGAATAATATGCTTTAAGTATTTACAAAACCAAAACGATATTGTTTGATTATTGTTTAATCAAATTTTAAAACAACATCGTTAAAGAATTAACAGACGTCTGTTTTTATAATAGAGTCTGACAGTTGACTATTCGAGTTTTTTAAATGGTCAAATCAACAAAATATGAAAATTAAAACTGCCAATATTTAAAAGTTGAATATTTTTTAATTCTTTTTTTTTAATTTGAAAAATTATGGTTTTAATGGCAATTTCCTCTTTATTTAATACATAGTTTGTCGTTGTAGAAAAAAGAGTCATTAATGCTTTATTTAAACACTGCAGTCTATGCAAAGAAACATCTTAATGGTTTTCCTGGTCATAAACAACTCATAATACACTGATATTTCTGAATTAGATTTAGATTATAACAACGGTACTGGTTTAGGTCACTATTTGAATGTTTGACAAGAAAAAAGGTGGAAAATTTTTTTTTTTGCTTGAGGTAACTTGTTGAGAAGACAAGTAGTTGTGCAACTTCAATCACGGAAGAGACAAGGCAAAAATGTTTAGGTCAGAGACTTTTGTCACTTTCCCTCTAAGGCAGAAGAAATCTTGTGGGTCTTTTTAAAAGCTTCCTCTTTGTCGGTGACATTAAAATTTTAAGATTAAGAGTTTGTCATCACTTCTACACCATCCCTGTGTGATGTTTCTAATGCTTATTTACTGCTTATTCAACTACACCATGTGTGATGTGGCTTATGTCATTCACTGCTTACTCTATCTCAATAATCTAATTTTAATTGGATCCTAAATTCAACTCCAATTAATTACCTTTTTAGCTATGGTTTTCGCTAAATATAATTTTGCTATAGACAGAATGGTACCATTTTCGTAACCTCATGATTTAGTTACACCAAAAAAAACTTAATGATTTAGTAACCTTATTTCTAAAATACTTTTCATAAGCCCAAAGTTGTGATATTTCTGCAGTTCTAAAACTTTGGTTGTAGTTCTGAAAACCTAAAATAAATTTGTAAAACTGCCATATATGTTTTTTTGTGAACATACATAACTACATTAAATTCAGAAAAATACTTTTATATCGGAAAAAATAAAATAGGAATCTACTATTTCTAGGTTAGCATATTCGTAATGGCCCCAAAAAAAGATCGAGTATTAAAGTATATCTCTTAGAATCAAACAAACCTGACGGTACTAACGCAATTTGGTTATCTAACTATCATTTTCGTTTAAAGTACTGAGACATTTTCATCTAATATTTAATAATGAGATCGATCAGGAGATTCCAGAAGATAGTCAAAACTTTGCTAGCGAGTCATTACTTCTGTTCAGGTTCTCGCATGACAACTTTTGCTTACGAAATGTGTAAGTAAAACAAACGTAAGAATAAATTTTTGTCAAAGAAGTTATATAATCCAAAAGCATCTGAAAGAATGATACATATAATAATTAATAAAAAGAAACATATCGAAGTTTGGTTGGCGCCAGCCAAAACATAATACTATTATTCAGTAACATGCTAACATGTGATATAAATTCCATAGATAAAACACACAATGCTGCGTTACAGTACTAAACAAGGAACAACGCATCATTAGCCACCATCTGATAAGGTTACAACACATGCAGAGACTTATGTCATACACTATACACTATCAAACTTTTAAAACTGCTCTCAGGGAGAAAGCTACACTACAATGAACCTAATTAAACACATCATATATATTTTTTGTGGCAACACAATATATCTTGAAACAGTTTCTCAGTAGATACATTTTAGTTCTAACTGCAAAATCATTAAAAAACCTTTGTATGTTTTACATGGAACGATTTATTCATCTTCTTCCTCTTCCTCTTCTTCATCGTATTCTTCTTCGTCTTCTTCTTCTTCTTCTTTAGTCCTCTCCCTCTTCTTGAGAACAACTTTGCACAAAACCAAGTCAGTAACCGCAACACTCGATGGTAGACTAATCTCCTTTAAGAACCATTCTTCCACTGGAGGCTCTTCTTCATCAGCCAAAAAAATGTCATTACATTCTTCTTCCTTCTCAACGATAGTAAACCTACGTTTGATACCAACACAGTTCTCCTCTTCATCTAACACATCAGTATTTTCACGGAACCGTGTCCACATACTCTGAGTCTCTTGTCCCTTAGGTTTCCTACAATAGTAATACCAATGTGTTTCTTCTGGATAGCCTGAAAGGATATAGCAAAGATAAAGATCAAGAAACAAACAAACACAAAACATGATTCACACATTATAATTAAAAAAGTTATCTGACCAGGTAAATCACGAGGAGGTGTTGAGAAGATATTGTGACGTTCTTCTGGTATGATACATGCTTCTATTGGCTGGCCAAGAACTTTTTGTTTTAAATAAGTTGACATTTCAAGAGATGTTGGACGAAAATATAAGTCTTCAGGTAAGAGTCTTGATCTTGGCTCCACTCTAAAACAAGAAAAAAGAGAATGTTTATCAATGGGCCAAGGCATCACAATGGTTTTGACAAAAGCGTGGAAGAGAGAATGATTCACATCTTCTTGATATGAGGTTTGTTGCATTCTTCTAGAAGGTCTTGCATGATCAAAGTCCTTGACTGAAAAGAACAAGACATGAACACACACACACATACACAAACCTCTGAATCATTGTAATAATAGACTTAAGATTGTTTTTTTTTACGCTGGATAGTGATGGAGATTCTGCGTTGAAGGCGTGGAGGACATGGTCGTAAGCCTGTTTATGGAGTTTGATCTTCTTTTTCGTTGGTGAATCATCATCTTCATCATCATCAGGTGATCTTGCGTGGACGTGTTTTACAACAAGAGGCTCTGGATTAGGAACAGAGCATGTTGCTATGTGAGTTTCTTGATCAATCTCCCACTCGTTCGTCAGCTTTTGTATGATCTGAGACTTCAAGAACACGCAAACAGTAACCTCAGGAACAGAATGAGATAAGAGAATAAGAAGAAGAGTGATGAAAGACGTTACGTGTGATGATGTTCCTGAGGAGGTTTTTGTTTTGGAAGCAAGAAGAACAGAGTGATAAGCTTTTCTCTGTAGCTGTTCAAGTTTCTGTTTCTTGAACTCGGGCTCAGACTCGGACTCGTGTGCTCTATCAGCCATTGCTCTCTTCTTTAGTGAGCAGCGAATCGTTCCATCTTCTACATTACAAAGGAGTAGTAACAGAATCAAGATTACTATGTGGAGGTAAAAAAAGAAAACAGAGGAATCTTGATTAATCCTACTCTAAAACCCTAATTAATTTGATGAAGAAACATCTAACAGAAGTGTTTGAAGAGACGTACTGGCGTGGGGATTTGGGTCTATATCGTTCTTGTCTGCCACTAGAGAGAATCAGTGGAACAGAGAACTCGTGGGAGATGAGGCCAAACTTTGAACAATCTCTGGTGCAAGAACGTGTTTGCAGTTTATAGAGAGGTTTAAATGAGAGAAGAGTGTTTGAAGATTTTGTGGAAGAAGTTAATTTATACTTTGTTAGGGGACTTTATAGTTTTGTACTATAAATATTGCCCAAACATTCATCTACAAAATAAACATAATCTAATAAATATCTTTTGGCTATCTAACTACATCACTTTCGTCTAAACTTAGACAAATATTATTACTAGTTTAATAATGATTGAACCAAACATTTTTTAAATAAAAATGAGATTCGAAAATGGTCAATTATTCTTCCCAGGTTCTCGTACATTAGCTTTTGCTTACGAAATGTTAAGTAAAACAAACCTAAAATAATAAGTTCGCAAGAAGAAAAGTATGAACAACTTAAAGAATGATATAATAATGATAATAAATAAAAAAAGAAACAGGTATATGTTTGGTTGGCGCCAGTAGAAAACATTCATTCATCTACAAAAGAATCATTAAACTAGTTTTAAAATACAAATTCAGTAACATGCTAACATGTGTGTGATATATATAATCCATTAAATTAAAAAACACAAAGTTGATAAACCATAATCCAAAGAAACATAAGATCTACCAGTAAACAATGACCAAAGTGAAACAGAACAAGACCAAAGTGAAATAAAAAGCCTTAACAAAAAGTTAAGTTTTTCAATTTACCCTTTTAATAGTCAAAAGGCCAACCACTATAACCCACATTAGATTCTTGTTGATGATACTGTTGCTGGTGATGATTATAACTATACTGCCCTCCTTCTTCTACAGTAGCTATGTTGTTAGCATCTCTCCTGTTCTGCGTCGAGCTTGAGCTAGAAGACCGAAACGGCCAAAGACTAGAGAGAATGTTCCTCCTTCTATTCCCACTGCTTCTACTCTGATCACTCTCTGTACTTGAAGAAGTCCCTCTCGACGGCAACTCTTTACGACAAACAGGACACGTGTTATGCTGAACCAGCCAGGGAACAATACAATCAGAATGATAAACATGTTTACACGGCATCTGTTTCACTTCAGACTTCAACTCAAACTCATCTTTACAAACCGGACAATGAGAATCCAACGACTTGAGATGCTTCTGCGTGATCTTAACTGTTGGTAACGCATCGATAGATGATTTAGCCGCAGGTGGTGGACCTCTATGATGAGTAGTAGTAGTAGAAAGCTGCTCAATCAATTCTTCAAGACCTGGTCCGTAAAAATAGTCACCAGCGCTAGTGTTGTTGTTACCGCCACGTGTGAGGCCAATACCAGGTGATGTGTTGTTATTAGCTTGGCCACCACCGAAGATCAAGAAAGGAGCTATACTTGAGAAGCTTTCAGAACGACCACTAGAGGTGATTCTTGGACTGTCGTGGCTTCTTTCAGCTAAACGGCTTCTCATGAAAACTGAGAAAGCTTCCATGAGGTCATATGTTGGACCACGCTCAACAACAACATCTCTTGGAGCTCCTCTAAGCGTATTATCTAAGGGTGTTACATCGATTTCTTCGACAAAACCTCCTCCACAATAGGTACAGAGAGAGTCTGGACCACGTAGGTAGACGCCACGTTGGCATCTGTGGCACCAATGAGTGTTTCTACCACTAGACATCCTCACAATCTCAACAATGAAACCTAAGAAGCTTTTAGCTGGTTCAGTAAGAGTCAGGTACTAGTTAATAGCCTGCAAAAATATAGAGCTGGTGAACAAACTCTTGGTAAATAGTTGCTTAAGTTGGTAAACCAAAGAGTTTTTTTTTTTGGCCATATGCTTAAACTTTCCAAAGCTTATCTCAGCTCAGAGCATACTACAAGATCCAAATGTAATTTATAGATCACAATTCAGAGAAAAATAAACAGACTATAAAACACATGGCTTATTCAGAAAAAAACAAGAAAAACAAACTTTAGAATACATGGTTCACCAAAACAGGACATAGTAGAATATTTACTCTAAGGTTACAACATTCTAACTCATACTGTATGATTGATTTGAATGAACTAATTAAATGGTTCAACCACTTTCAATCTAGAGTATCTAACTGAGCCATCAATAGAGAGAGAAATTGAATGAGAACCATGAAGAATGTACAATGCAAACGATCCACATCTTTCATACAAATTATCAAGCGAATCAAGATCAAATACAAAACCAGATCACAGGGACAAAAACGAGACACGAAAACCAGAAATATGAATCCAGAAAAGAAAAAAACAGAGCATCTTACAAAAATTATCCCAAGGAAAATCTTAATGCACATTGTATGCGACAAGCTTTGAGAAAAAAAAAATCAGATCCAAATGATCCAAACTACACAACAACAAAAAAAAAAAAATAACTGCCAGCGACAAAAAAAAAGAATTAAAGATTCGCGACATCTGAGAAAACCAAACTTAATCAGTTACTTACCTCAAATAGATCCGAAGGAAGAAGAGAAACACTAGAGAGAAGCTGGTCTGAGATTGGTTTTTGTAGAGAAGAAGACGAAAGAGAGAGAGAGAGCTAACCTGGAAGAATCTCTCTGTTACACTCTATTGACACTTTGACAGTATTATTGGCTGTTACCTCAAAAAATAAAAAAATACCTTAGCCTCTGTAAGTTCTGTAATAAATATCCTCTAACTTGTGCCACGTGTCCGTTTATCTAATTACAACCTAAACTTCACCGTAATTACACTTATACCACTCTGACACTCGCCGGCTTTTTGTCACGCCCTCCTTGCTTCCGCCGGAAGGTTACTCAATATACTCACGAGTAAACACATTCCTCAATATACTCGGAAGGTTTGCTTTTCATACTAAAGATATCTTCTATAAATAGAAATTAAAAAAAAAACATTATCTCTTAGATAAAATCCAAAGTTACGGGAACAAATTGAAATAAAATAGAAACTTAAGGGACTAAAACTGAAAATTTTCAAGAAAGTAAAGTAAAATTTAGAGTTTCATCTTCTTCCTGCGTTTCCCGCCGGAAAACTCCTTAACCTTTTCACGAACATTACTCCTTAGCTTCTCAAGAATCCTCCTCTCACTCACACGCAACACAAGCGAATGATACAACCTCCTATCTCTCGGAAGAACACAACTCTCCACCCTAACAACATCCTCCTCCAAAGAGCTCCTTGTCCCATACAAACTCTCTCTCTTATCCACAATATCAAGAAGCGCTTCACAAACACCATTATCCGTGAGAAGCACGTCACTGCTACAACTCTCTCCAAACACGACCTTATGTTTCCCTATTGTTACTTCTTTAGAGACACAATCATCATCTCCTGATAACGTTAGGTATGTCTCTTCTGGTAAGAGAAGGATATTGAGTAGGATCAGGAGCTCGGTTTCGGGCTCTCCGGTTGAAGAAACCTCGAAGTAGTCTGAGTTGTTGTAACCTAGCTTTTTAAACAAGGAGAGTCTAGCTTGAGTGTGTCGGCTTGTGAATGAGGATGTGCTCCACTCGGTAACTAGGTCGAGATCTATGTTGACGATGTTGTAGAGATTGTCGAGTTCTGTGAATCCGTATCTGTGGAGTAACGCAGCGTTACCTATCAAACCGTATGTGTTGTATACCTACGAAAGAAAAATTGTAATAAATTTAATGTAAAATGAGATTAAGAGTTTGAAAGATGTATAATAAGTACATACCTCAGTTCCTGCTGGGACGTTCTTCACCATGATCATTTCTAAACTGGTTACATCGTTTTGCAACATTGAAGAGTCTTCTTCTTCTTCTTCTTCTCCTTCGTTTTCTTCTTCTTCTTTGGCTTCTTCGTCAGTGTTTTCACCCTCCAAAGATTGATCAGGAGAGGAAGGCTCGTCTTCATCAGTGGCCTTATTAGCAGTATCATCAGCTTCAGATTCGGATTCACTGTGAGGTAATTCAGCTGTGAAATGAACATCTTCCTCCCCAGTTTTATGATTGAAGCTGCAATAAACAGGTAAGATTCAAAAGAGAGGACAATAAGTAAAACATTAACTGGCTAACATACAGAACATATGCCCCAATAAACAACAAGTCTAAATGCTCACACAACCTTCAACAAACATACAAAACTTCATCCACGAGCTTAAAGCATTTAGTTGATAACATATTGGCTTATAAAGGTATGAGGTAAGCTTACAGATCTGCAAGAGGGACCATCCCCGATCCATGGTAATCATCAATCTCAAAAGACCGAGACGCAATTAAACTCTTGGCTGCAAGATACTCTTTGATTCCAAAAGAACCAGGATCAACATTCTCAGGAAGTGAAGATGTAAGTGGCACAATGTTCTCTTCCCAATCCTCATAAACAAGACCATGGTCTCTCTTCACATCCTGTCTACAACAAAATTCAAAACTGATGAGTAATGAATCCAACAAGATTCCATACAATAGTGTTTTAAAAATCGGTTTACACCGCCTATGCGACAAATCAGACCTAAATGTAATGATATTTCTTACAAAAATCAGTCTAGGCGTTTAAAAAATGCTTAATCAATAAGTCCCTATAAAGTGTCTGCTATTTTCTGAACATTACAAACAATAGTGTTCTAAAAATCAGTTTTCACAGCCTACACGACTAATCAGACCTAAATGTAATGATTTTCTTGAACAATTTTTTTAAAAAATCAGTCTAGGCGTTCAAAAAATCGGCCTAAACATCTGCCTAATCAATAATTCTCTATAAATTGTCTGCTATTTTTTGAACAATACATACAATAGTGTTCTAAAAATCAGTTTGCACCGCCTATGTGACAAATCAGACCTAAATGTAATGATTTTTCTTGAATAATTCTTTCTATAAAGTGTCAGTTATTTTTTTTTAACATTGCCATATATAAAGTGAAGCTTTTAAGTGAACCTTGTGAATCTCAGTTCCAGACAAGAGAGAATCCAACTCCTCAACGGGCCAGACAAGAGGCAAATCCTCTTGAAAAGGAAGAATCTGAAGGTAACCAGACCAAGGAGACTTATCACCTAAGCCTCTCTCGTACATGATAGCCACTGAGAGACCTAAACTTCCATCTAACTCAGCGGATTCGATCATCTCACGAGCTCCACTGGTTTTAATAGTGAGACAAGCAGTTTTGGAGATGTTGGCAACGACATCTCCTTCTTTTAAATCACGTGATGCTTTGACGGATACGTCGCCGTTTTTGTCTTCCACGAGGGTGAGCGCGTCGCTGCAGTCGACTCCATTTGCTTTCATCCATTTCTTGAATGTTATTAACCTAATGGTGATAATTAAAGAGAAATTAAAAACAAGAAAGAGACAGAGATTGGGAAAAACATTGCAATGAATGTTTTGAGTTATCGAGACAGAACCTTGAGGCCATGATCTTCTTTGAAGTCTCTTTTGAGTTAATGGATTTTGCCGGAGAGACAACGACGGCGCCAGATGCAAAAAAGGGTTTTGGTCCGTATTTTACATATATGGATATTGATGGAAGTACCCTTGTAAATATTGAACTTCTGTTTTTGACCTCTTATCTTTTTTATTATATGATGTAAGCTGTTTCATTTTCTTAAAAAAAAATTGTTAATATTTTATGTACCTTTTGTATTTATTAGATACGAATGACTAATTAAATCCTGCATTTTTCACAAATGGTTGACTATAGGTAAATTATGTATTAAACTGATAAGTTTGAAAAATATTTTGTAATCTTTTAAAACATGTAGAGTTTAGGGGAAACAGTAAATTTAATTAAAAATATTTATTTGAACAAAAAATAAATTAAAAATAGTAGTGTACGGTAATTATTCTAGGACAAATGACATGTATATTTCGATACTCCATCCGTTTCAATAAAATGCATATTTTGCAATTATTAAACATATTAAAAACATTTTAAAGTTTGATTGGATTATTTTTTATGTTATAACTGTTTTCATAACTAATTAAAATATAATAAATACAATTAATTAATTGAATATACTATTTATTATTATTATATACATTGAAAATGTAAAAAGTTAAATATTTTGAAACAAAAGTTTTTTTTTTGTAGAATATGGATTATTTTGAAGGAGGAATATCAAAAAAAAAAAAAAACTTATGCTACTAATTTCTCAAAAACTATATAAAGGGTTTTAATTCAAACCAGACTCAAAATCAAAGTTGTGTATTTGCGAGGGAGAGAGAGAGAGAGACATAAACAATGTCCGAGAACAAAGCTCAAGTGATTGTCAGAATGCTCCAAGGCTGCAACAGCATGACCAAACTCCTTAAGATCCACTCCCACGTCATCACCAACGGTCTCCAACACCACCCTTCAATCTTCTCCCACCTCCTCCGCTTCTGCGCCGTCTCAATCACCGGCTCCTTACCCCACGCGCTCCTCCTCTTCCGACACTTCGATTCAACACCATCAACAACCGCTTGGAACTACCTCTTACGTGGCTTCTCAGCATCACAAACTCCTCTCTCTTCCCTCCTCTTCTACAATCAAATGCTAATCCTCTCCACACGCCCCGACATCTACACTTTCAGTTTCGTCTTAAAAGCTTGCGAGAGAATCAAATCAGTTACGAAATGTCGGGAGATTCACGGTTCTGTAATCCGGTCTGGTTTTCAAACCGACAACATTGTCTCCACTAGTCTACTTCGTTGTTACTCTGCTTCTGGAGGTATTGATATTGCGTTCAAGGTGTTCGACGAAATGCCTGTGAGAGATTTAATCTCTTGGAACGCGATGATCTCTTGCCTTTCGCATTCCGGTTTACACCATCAAGCCTTGAGTATGCATAAGAGGATGGAGAAAGAAGGTGTGGGCCTCGACGCGTACACGGTGGTTGCTCTGTTATCGTCTTGTGCTCATGTAAGCGCGTTGAACATGGGAGTTATGTTACACAGAAAGGCCTGTGATGTTCGATGTGTGGGGAGTGTTTACGTGGGGAATGCTCTTATTGATATGTATGCGAAATGTGGTGTTCTTGAGAACGCTGTTAGTGTTTTTAATGGGATGGGGAAGAGAGATGTTACGACGTGGAACTCGATTATTATGGGGTATGGAGTTCATGGGAAAGGGGTGGAGGCTATCTCGTTTTTCAGAAAGATGGTGAGTTTAGGGGTTAGACCTAATGCTATTACTTTTCTTGGATTGTTGTTAGGTTGTAGTCATCAGGGTTTAGTCAAAGAAGGAGCTGAGCATTTCGAAAACATGAGTTCAGAGTTTAATCTGAGCCCGAATGTTAAGCACTATGGATGCATGGTGGATCTTTATGGACGAGCTGGGGAGTTTGATAAGGCGCTGGAGATGATACACGTGTCTTTTTGTCATGAAGATCCTGTGCTGTGGAGAACACTCCTTGGCTCTTGCAAGATCCACAAGAATTTGGAACTTGGAGAGTTAGCTATGAAGAAGTTGGTGCAGCTCAAGGCTTTCGATGCAGGGGATTATGTGCTTATGACTTCTATATATTCTGCAGCGAATGATGCTCAAGGCTTTGCTAACATGAGGAAGCTGATGAGAAGCCATGAGTTACGGACAGTTCCAGGGTGGAGTTGGATTGAGATTGGTGATCAAGTTCATAAGTTTGTGGTTGATGACAAAACGCATCCAGAGTCTACACTTATTTACTCAGAACTGCAAAAAGTTGTTATCCCTCGCGCCATAGTAGCTGGTTACAAGCCAGAGGAGTCGAATGTTACTGGTCCAGGTTTCTCTGATAGGTGTTTAGGATCTGCGTTTCACAGTGAAAAGTTGGCTATTGCTTATGGATTAATGAGAACTCCTGCAGGAACAGCTCTCAGGATCACAAAGAATCTTAGAGTTTGCAGAGATTGTCATTCGTTTACAAAATGTGTGTCGAAAGCATTCAACAGGGATATTATTGTAAGGGATAGAGTTCGGTTTCATCACTTTGCAGGTGGTCTTTGTTCTTGCAACGACTACTGGTGATATGCGCTGGACATGTACTTGAGGATGGTGTGATCCACATTGTTTTCTTGGTACGTCTCTCAGCTCAACAAGGACATGATATGAAGAGAGAGTTGCTTTTGAGGAATATAAACAAGGACATGAAGGTATTGTTGTTGATCTATGCATACTGTTTCTATTGTTTAAAATATATATTGTTTTCTTCTTAATTTTCCAAAAAACTAAATAGTAATTACTGATTACTTATAAATTAGTCGTTAAGCATTTTTCAGTTCGTTGTGAAAGGCGTTTGTCTCTAAGTGTGTTGTTATCTCTCTAACGAACCAACTCAATGGCGATGTCGTCATCAAGTAACAACCGCAAAGAAGATCCCTCCTCGCCTCCGCAAACACCATCTTCTTCTTCCGCAGCTGATAACTTCTGTCGCACTCCTCGGGAGAAACCCACCACTTTCCCGCCAGGTTACAAGTTCGTACCATCCGAGGAAGACCTCATCGTGCATTACTTGAAACCCTTCTTGCGAAGCAACAAGAACCCACCTCCCAACGTCCCCATACACCGCGTGAACATCTACGAGTCAAACCCAGAACGACTCTCAAGTTCGTCTCTCTTCTTGAACTGTTTTCCTTTCGTTTCTGTATCTGAACGGCTTTGTTTTCAAACAGGGGAATACGTCAAGGGTAATGATAAAGAATGGTTCTTTATAACGGAGAGGACAAAGATGCATGAAGGTGGTACAAAGAAACATAGTAGGTTGGACAATGGTGGGTTCTGGAAGGCAAGATCAGCTTTTGAAGAGTTTAAAACTCGAAAAGGAGAAGCCTTTTGGAGAATGGTACTGGAACACTACACGGGGAATAACCAAAACGGTGCTAGATCGGAATGGTTAATGTACGAGTATGTGACTGATTCTTCGTCTCCTCGAGACAAGACAAATGGTGATAATAACAAAAGGGTACGTACGTATGTTTACTAGTGTACTTGCAAGTTAGTAAGATAATGGAGTCTTAAGTTTGTATTCTGTATGTGAATGGCTCAAGAGGCATACGGAAAGGGTAATGATAAAGAACGGTTGTTTATTAGTATGTATGTTTACTAGGGTGCTTGTGTGTTGTGTGTACTAGGTGGATTATGCTCTGTGCAAGATTTACATGACGCCAAAGGGAATGAAGAGAAAAGCAGAAGAGGAAGAAGAGAATGAGAAGAGGAAGAAAGAAGAAGAACGAGGAGGAGGTGAAGAACAAGAGGTTGATCAGCGTTGCCCGTTTTCATCTGATGAGTTTCGTGAGCTGATGAACTCTCTTAGCGTCCCAGGAGAAGTTGATGGTGTTTTCACCGGCCCTATTGATCTATCCCCACTGTTTGGAGAAGGAGAGTCAAAGAAGGACTAGTCTCATATCATGTCTCTATTGAGATCTCTGCTCAGAACGTTTTGGATGATAAGAAAGGTTTTATTTATAGGTTTTAAGTTATCAAATTAGGTTACGTAGAGAACAAGCATGTAGAATACGTTCCTTGTGTCGCCTTAGTTTCTAGTTTCGTTGTGTGTTCCCTTCATCGCAATGTTTTCTAAAACCATGTTAAAGATCATCTTTCCTCTAATGTGTGTATATACTAAAGTCTACAAACAGCTCTATAACACACAGAATGCAAGTGTAACTTTATTCTATTACCGGTTCGTACCTTATAACCGATACCGATAACCGGATAAATAATTCTTGTCTATTAATAACCGGAATTAGGGGTGGGCACGGATCGGATATCCGAGTTTTTTAAGGTATTTGTGATTTGCTTCGAATGTTACGGATATCTAATTTTGATATTTGCTTTGCTTCGAAAAAATACGGATATCCGGAAAATAAATAAATATTTGCGGATATTTACGAATATTTACGGATATCTCATCCATTTTGATTAATAAAAATAATCTTAAGATTTTGATACAAATTTGCTTTGCAAAAATATTTTTTTGCATGATATATAAAATAAAACTTAAAAGAACTAGTGAATTTATATATTTTGTAATTTTTTAAGCTTAAGTTACAATTATAATAACACAAAATTTAAGAAAAAATATAATTGTCATAATTTTCTTTCTTTCTTTTTATGTAATAACTTTTATATAAGTAATAATTTGAATAGAATTTTTCAAAATCATATGCTAGAATAATAATTATATAATTTTATACATTTAAAATGTTAAATATAATCAAGATATACATATATTTATATATTTACGGATCGGATCGGATATCCGCTTCCCAAAATTTTACTATTTGTGATTTGCTTCGATTTTAAGGGATACTGAATTTTAGTATTTGCTTTGATTCGAAAGTTTACGGATATCCGGAATTTTCGGATCGAATCGAAACGAATAACGAATCGAATCAAATATAACGGATAAAATGCCCAGCCCTAACCGGAATTATATCACTGCTAGCACTTGTCCTTTTTTTCTTTTAATACATTGCTAGCACTTGTCCAAAAAAAAATTAAAAAAAATTAAAAAATAAATCACTGCTAGCACATAATTAAAGTAATAAGTGATATACCGGTTTGCACCTTCTAACCGAATATCGATAACCGGGCACAGAATGCTTAATAATAATAACCGATACCTGTTAACCGGGTTTATCTGTAAAGAAAGGGAACACTTTCTCTTTAGCAAAACCCTAAAAGAAAAGCGAGCAAAGTTACAGAGCGTCGTCGTCTTCTTCTTCTTCCATCTTCCGAACCGACCGTTACTTCCTCCTTCTTCTTAATCTTACGGTAAGCTTCCCAATTTCCTTTAAAAACGAATCAAAAAGGAGAGATTTTGATTTAAGATTGCTCTTACTCTGTTCATAATTTCTCTCTTAAAATCTCTAATTTGGTTTAAATCAAACCAAAACTCATTGGGTTTGTTCTTGTTGAGCTTATAATTGAATTTTCTATATGGGTTTTGAAATTGAATCTATAAAGTTTACTTCTTTCGTTTATCTAGGGTTTAGGGTACGTATGCAAAGTCCACACCTTTACGCCTTGTGATTAACTTAGAAGATTAAAAGTTTGCTTTTTTTCGATATATAGGTTTTTGTTGCTGAGGGAAGATGCAGAGTGAGGAATCTCATGAGATTGTGAATGGAGTATCCGTGGAGGAGGAGGAGAGTAAGGAAACAATGAAGAAGAGTCAGAAGGCGGATAGAAAGAAGAAGAAGTTGAGAGAGAAGTTGCTAAAGGAAGCTACTAAGGCTGATAATCGTGGAGTTTGCTACTTGAGTCGTATACCGCCTCACATGGATCACGTTAGATTAAGACAGATTCTCTCTCAGTTTGGTGAAATTGGGAGGATCTATCTTGCTCCTGAAGGTGAGGTTTTATTGGTCATATCAGTTTTGTGGTTATGTGTTTTGTAAGTTAAGCTGATTGCATTCATGGATGTTCTATTTCAGATCCTGAAGCACAAGTTCACCGTAAGAAGGCTGGTGGGTTCCGTGGCCAACTGTTCTCTGAAGGGTATGTTCGATGTTCTTTTTATTGTTTTGTCTGTTTTCAAAACACTTCTCCTCCTCCATAGTGATCATCTGGTTTCTGTTTCTGCTGTTTACTGTAGTTGGGTGGAGTTTGCTAAGAAAAGCATAGCTAAGAGAGTAGCAGATATGCTAAATGGAGAACAAATAGGTATTTCTTATGATTCACTTTAGTATTCATAGTCAATATATTTATTAAATCTAGGCAGCTTAAATGATTATATTTGGTGTTTTCATTTCTACAGGAGGAAAGAAGAAGTCTGCTATATACTATGATATTTGGAACATCAAGTACTTGACCAAGTTCAAATGGGATGATCTTACCGATGAAATTGGTATTGTTAACTGCTCAGTTTCTTGGCTTAATGTTAATTACATTGATATGATCTCTAATATACAAAGTTGCTTTTCTTTGCAGCATACAAAAGTGCAATAAGGGAACAGAAACTGAACATGGTTATGTCTGCTGCTAAGAGAGAGAAGGACTTTTATTTATCTAAAGTGGAGAAGTCACGTGCTATGACTGAGATAGATGAACGAATGAAGAAGGTACTCACTCTTTTTAATATTGCTTCCTCCCTCTGGATGTCTCACTAGTCTATGTTTTGATGTTTGGCAGAAGCGAAAGATTCAAGAAGAATCAGGCAGCAATGCTGAACCAGCACAAGTCTTTCCACCTAGGGTGGTTCGTCAGTTCAGACAGAAGACAGCAATCAAAAATGAGGTGTCTCAGAGCAAACCTGGACTCTCCACAGATGTCCTAGCATCGGTCAGTACTTGTCTTTATCTTGGGTCTCGAAAGGTATAATGATGACTTTTTTTGTATTTATGGTTTTGTACATCTTTTATTCAGGTGTTCGGCGGTTCTTAAAAGACCAAGAAGAGGCATGTGAAGATATTGCTGTTTGATTAAACGTATGAATGGTGTTTACCATTAGTTATAGTTTCTGCATGTCAAATTGTCAACAAAGAGAATCTTCACATACACTTTTACCATTTTGTACTAAGAAAATGAATTAAACAGTTTTTGATACTTTAATTTTCTGTCTTTCTTTCTCTTAGCAATAACATATACACATACATCAACGCATGTGAATACAATACTTATCATCGAGATGACTAGGAGAACGCAAGGGCTTAAGGGGTTGAAGTTACGTAGTAGCTGCACTTTTGCTAGTGGTTGATGAACGGTGAAGCCTGCAACAGAATGAACCTTCGTGCTTAGCTGGAGCACAGACGCAATGTCACTTTCCCCCAACCGGTTGCTGTTACTGAGCAGACCAAGCGAGTCTGTGGACCACGACGATGGACGATCCTGTCTTGTTTCTGTTGTGGTCTTCGTTGAAAGAAACAAGTCTTTCGTTGCAGGCATCGAGAAGGTTTACAATAGATATATAAGAATAGAAAAGACGTTAACCGCTACCAAGCCATTATATAATGAATTATTTAAGCGCATGAAACACGTAGTTGAAACAAAGCCCAACTAGTGCGTCCATGGTATTCCTCAAAGATGGTTCTCTGGTTTCTCCAAAAAGTTTCAGTGGTAGTACCACTGAATAAAACAGTCTCTTCGTAACATAAAACAAGGTTACCTACCATAACTTTTGTCTGAAATAAAAAAAAAGAACTTATCTGAATCATACTTTTGATGAAGTTAAGTGATACTACTGTACTTAGTGCGGCTCAAAGCCAACGCAAATATGGATAATTGTACATTGTCTTCAACTACATCAATTCCTAACAAATATATAAGCATACTTCATTGTTTTTGGTCATATGATGAGCAAAATTTCAAATTAAGGATCGCAGATCGATTTGGGAAAAAGTTCGGTTCCATTTGATTTGATTTGTTTTTGTTTTTAATCCAAACTAGGACTGGGAAAAAAAAACCGAACCCGAAAATCCGAACCGAATCCGACCCGATAAAAAGGAACTCGAATCGATCCGAACCCGACATAAGTACCGAATGGATCTTGTTTTACGGTATTTCGGGTTATGGGTATTACCCGAACCGACCCCGAACTTAAATGGATATCCGAAAGAACCCGAAACTTTAAAATTCCAAAAAAACTTGTATCATATTCAATCTAAATTTCTAATATGTTTCCAAATCATATTAATATATTATTGAGTACCTACAGTAATTAGTTATGATATAAATAATTAACTCAAATATTTAGTCTAATATATAGTGTTATTTGGTTAATATTAATGTTTATGATTGACATTACATTTGAAGTTAAGTTACGAATAAATTTGTTTTGAAGTTTATAAAATGTTGTTTTTAAAAGTTTAAATAGAACTTCTTATGTTTATAGAATTGTTAGTTGTTAACTTTAATTTTTTATGTTTCATTATGTATTATATTTCGTTCATACAAGGCTTCGGTTTGTCATTAATCATGATATGTTTAGTGTTGTCACATATAGTTCATTGACAAATCTTATATGGTTGATAGATGAGTTTCACAATATTATTTTGAAGGAGAACAATATGGTTTGTAGAAGCTAAATACACAAATTTAATAAATGATTGAAAATATAGTGAGTTTAATTGAGTATAAATTAGTATTTTTAGAACCGATAACCCTATTAGTATCCGAAACCGAAACTATTTCGGGCTCAACCGGATCTTGGACATGTTACTAAACCCGAACCGAACCCGACTAAACCCGAACCGAATCCGACCCGAATTTTTATAATATCCGAATGGGGCTGAAATTCATGAACCCGAAAACCCAAAACCCGAATGAACCCGAACCAAAACCCGATTGGGACCCCGATTGCCCAGCCCTAATCCAAACACACTTCTCCATATAACTCGGTTAAATATATATCAGGTCTCTAAATGATATTAGCACACAATATAACAAACACTAACACAACTAAAAATTCAAAAAAGTTATCCCAAAAAACTCCATCACTGAAAAGTCCCAGTAAGACCAAGAACCCACAAAAAGATAAGAGACTGCCGATGTCTCAAAGAAGCAAATGAAATGCCTCAAGACAATCACTCATCTAACACATAAGCTTACATAAAGAATCTTCTACAAACTAATACGACAGTTAAGATATCATTCATAAAAGTCAGAGAAGACATGATGACATGATCAGTCACCGAAATAATCTAAGCATCGAAGAAATATGCCGAGTTATAACATGGCAAGTCTAACAAATATGACCACAACATATTGATACTGACGAGTTAGATGACATGCATAAAAAATATGTATAGGAAGCAAAAGTCATTGGACTTATTAATCAACTATTATATGGCATCAGCACAAACATATGAAAAGGAAGAGATATATGATCAAGGAAAAAAATGCATGGTCATGGAGGTAACAAGAATTACATCGAAGTATAGCTGAATCGCAAGTAACCTCGAATCACATAAAAACAATAACCAATATTTCTACTCTCAGTGTCTCACCAACTTGGATCTCCAAACAAACAAACAAATATATAATATAAGCAAGTATAAGAAAACATTCAACATAGCAATCAAATCAACAAATGATACAATTATAGAAGCATATGAAACATATACATATTGTAGAACATATATGCCAAAAAATTTACAGAACTAAGATAAATCCTGTGGAAATAAGCTTCCAAAACCTCCAATTGTAAGAGGTTTGAAACAACATTAAACATAGCAATCAAACCACAAATGATACAGCAAAAAGCATATGAAACATATAAATATTGGAGAAAACATGCCAAAAGATTTACAGAACTAAAACAATTGTAAGAGGGAAAGAAAACATAAATATCTTCCAACGAAAAATCAAGAAAGACATTTTAATTTAGGTTAGAAATTACCAAACAAAGAAAATACCTGATTATGCATTATAAGCACAGTATGTGAAAGTATCACCCAAGAGCCATTAAATCTACTAAACTTAAGCTGAAACACTCAGCCTATGTTAGATATTCCATACCTTTTATATGCAGTAGTATTACCGATATGATAAAACACATTAAAAGAAAAACAAATCTTAAGAAACTGAGACAAATTTCAAATATACAAAGTGGTGCAATGCTACGATCAAAATAGCTTTTATAATTACTCAACAAGCGATTTTCTTCAGAGAGAATTATGTACCAAAGATTAATACACAGTCAAAGAGATCAATTCAACATAGAGAAATAAGCAATAACGTACAACCAAAACAGAGATGAAAAAACTTATAACATGGATAAGAAACTGCATGGACATCATCAAGCTTCTGAAAATTGATTAACAGACTAGTAATATATACGTCGTTTATTCTAGAACTAAAAGAAACTAAAGGCAAAAGAAATATGCATATCTATTTTAAAGACCAATTAAAATTCCGGATATAGAACTCCGAGGAGAAGAACAACACCAAAATATAAAAGAGTAGAAAGATAATAACCTGAAACTCTTGGCGTGATCTTTAAAACCCGGAAGAGACCTACTAGCAAAGAAAGATAGAAAGGTGGAGTTATAAGATAGTTTTAAACACAATGAATTTGTACTACTGATGTCAACCTGCATTAGAAAAAAAACAGAATAAGCTTAAGAGGCGAATAAAGTATCATCTACAGAGAGAATTAGAAATACACATACCTGAAACAGAAGAAGGAAAAAATAGTTACCTCATCCCAACCTCATTTTCATTCTGGAAACTCGTTTTTTCTCTTAGCTTGAGCATTTTCATTAGACCTGTGCCGAGGCATTTGTGATTAATGTAAGTGACAAGAAACCCGAGTAATCCAAAGAGGTGAGGCAACCTCATCATTTGTATCCTTTAATCTCTTGGCTTTCATTTAGCTTGACTGACTAGGATCTCAAGCAATTCTAGAGGCATTTGTGTTTAACTCAGGTGAATGTAAACCTGAGTGATTTAGTGAGGCGGGACAACCTAATTTGCATTTTAGCATCAGTGACTTTCGTTTGGCTTTGCATTTCACTTGAGTGACTAGGATCTCAAGCAACTAGAGAGGCATTTAACTCAAGTAACTAGAATCCAAAGTAAAGTAGCCCAAAGGGCACCTCAATATTAGAGACACAATAGGGACGTTTTAGAGAGGTAATTAAGATTACCTAAGTTACTAGGCATTTGGTTAGAGCTCGGGTGACTAGAAAAACCGAGTTATGCAGGGACATAATCGACTCTACAGCAGGACAAGCTCACTTGTGTTCTGTCATCAAGAACATTTTTTCAGAGAGGTAATTATGATTACCTTATTACGAGGCATTTGTAAATGGCTCAGGTGACTAGGAAAACCGACTTCAATCAGGGACAAGCTCGTTTGTTTTACCACCAGAGACACTCACAATTCTACAGTGAGTAAGAAACCGCATGACAAACTCTTTGTTCTATCATAGGGACAATTCAGAAAGGTAACTAAGATTACCTTGGTTCAGAGCATTTTGATTTTAAGCTAGTAGCTCTGAGACTCGGAAGCAAGCTTCATCAGTTCTGGCACCAGGGACATATCAGGGAGGTAATTAAGATTACCTCGTTGACGAATCATTTGTGTATCACTCGGGTGACTAGGGAAACCGAATTATTCAAAGAAGCGGGACATCCTCAATTTTCTAGAGAATTAGGGACGTATCAGCTAGGTAATTAAGATTACCTTACTTCTATGACATAGTCATTTGTGTTATTCAAAGAGTCGGAAACAAGCTCACTTGTGTTAAAGCATCAGGGACGTTTCAAGGTAATTAAGATTACCTTGATTCTAAGACGAGGCATTTGTTTATAGAACCATGGGACAAGCTCATTTACATTATGGCATCAGGGACACTTCAAAGAGGTAATTAAAATTACCTGTAGCACGAGGCATTTGTGACTAGTTAACCACGAGACAAGCTATATGTTCTATCATCAAGAACATTACAGAAAGGTAATTATGATTACCTTGTTTTAGAGCATTTCGATTATAGCTCTAAGACTATAAAACGAGTTTTTATAAACACTCGAGACGACCTCATCTGTGCTCTTGGATCAAGGACAGTTCAAAGAGGTAATAAAATTACCTACAGTAGGAAGCATTTGTTTACTTTGGTGACTAGTTAACCATGGGACAAGCTCTGTGTTCGGTCATCAGAGACATTTAGAGAGGTAACTAAGATTACCTTGTCTCAAAGCATTTTGATTATAGCGCTAAGACTAGAAAACCGTGGGACAAGCTTTGTGTTCTGTCATCAGAGACATTTACAGAGGTAACTAAGATCACCTTGTCTCAGAGCATTTTGATTATAGCTCTAAGACTAGAAAACCGTGGGACAAGCTTTGTGTTCTGCCATCAGAGACATTCAAAAAGGTAATTAAGATTACATTGTCTCAGAAGAGCATTTTGATTATAGCTCTGAGACTAGTAAAACGTGGGACAAGCTCTGTATCCATCAGGGATAATTCAGAAAGGTAATAAGATTACCTTGTTTCAGAGATTATAGCTCTGAGACTAATAAGCCGTGGGACAAGCTCTGTATTCAACCATCAGGGAATTCATAAAGGTAATCTTAATTACCTTGTCTCAGAGCATGTTTATTCAATCATCAGGGACATTTCAGAAAGGTAATTAAGATTACCTTTTTACGAGGCATTTTTTTGGAGCTCGGGTGACTAGGAAACCGAGTTTTACTGGGACATTCTCACTCTACTGCAGGACAAGCTCACCTTTCGTTCTGTCATCAATGACGTTTCAGAAAGGTGACGAGGCATTTGTTTTAGAGCTTGGATGACTAGGGAACCGAGTTTTCCAGGGACATTCTTGATTCTACCGCATGACAAGCTCACTTTTGTTCTGTCATCAGAGACATTTCAGAGAGGTAATTAAGATTACCTTGTTACGAGGCATTTGCTTATACCTGGGTGACTAGGAAAACCGACTTATTCAGGGACGAGCGCATTTATGCTAATGGCATCAGGGATTCTCGAGTCCGCTTTGACTAGGAAACTGCGGGACAAGCTCTGTATTCTATCATCAGGGACATTGAGAAAGGTAATTAAGATTACCTCATTATGAGGAATTTGTTAATAGCTTGGACAACTAGGAAACCATGGGACAATCTCACACATTATGGCATCAAGGGACACTTTAGAGAAGTAACTAAGATTACCTCATTACGAGGCATTTGTTTATAGCTCAGGCAACTAAGAAACCATGGGACAAGCTCATTCACATCACCGCATCAAGGGACAGTTTAGAGAGGTAATTAAAATTACCTCGTTACGAGGCATTTGTTTATAACTCGGGAAACTAGAAAACCATGGGACAAGCTCATTAACGTTATGGCATCAAGGGACACTTTAGAGAGGTAATTAAGATTACCTCATTACAAGGCATTTGATTATAGTTTAGGCAACTAGACAACCATGGGACAAGCTCACACATTATGGCACCAAGGGACACTTTATAGAGGTAATTAAGATTACCTCATTACGAGGCATTTGTTTATAGCTCAGGCAATTAGGAAACCATGGGACAACAAGCTCAAACATTATGGCATCAAGGGACACTTTAGAGAGGTAATTAAGATTACCTCATTACAAGGCATTTGTTTATTATAGCTCACGCAACAAGGAAACCATGGGACAAGCTCACATATTACGACATCAAGGGATACTTTAAAGAGGTAATTAAGATTACCTCATTACGAGGCATTTGTTTATAGCACATGCAACTAGGCAACCATTAGACAAGCTCATCTACATTATGGCATCAAGGGACACTTTAGAGAGGTAATTAACATTACCTAATTTATAGTAGATAGAATTAAAGAAAACTCCATGCTAAAGACGTATAAGTTTATAATGAATACAACTTAACTAGAGACAGATGAAAACAACAAAGACAAAAACTATAACATGTACCACTTGTTTTGAAGCATAAGTGCTTATAATAAACCCCTTTTTGTGCACCTCTTATAATAAACCGATCTTTGTTTTTTTTAAAAGTTAAAGAAAGAGGAAATACCTGGGAATGAGATGTCGCCAAAGATCCAAGCTTGAGACTATACAAGTTTACAATGAAATTACGTTAATACCCCATGAATCATTAGAATAAAACAAAGCAAATAAAGATAGATTCAAAAATCAAGAATCAACCTTGAAGAGGATCCGTTTATTATTAACGATGGCTTTTGAGGAGGACGAATCGAAAATAACGATTATGCAAGAGGAACTTCAAATTAAGAATCACGATTTATGCGGATTCAACAACCCTATATAGACACCGGAAAATTGAAATAAAAAACCCTAAATAAACATCAAAGATTGAAATAAGAAATCTAATAGGCGAATGAAGTAAAAGGAAAGGTATAAGCAAAAACGAACAGAGTTAATTTAGAGAAGATGGTTTCGTAATCGCCTCCGGAGAAAGTAAAAAGAGAGAGCCGAGAGAGACAATAATTTAAATAAAGTATTTGGTTATGTGGCGTTAAAACGACGCGGTTTAACTCAACTCTAACGGTCAAATAGCTTGTACAGCTGTACATATATCCGGTTTAATTGTCGAACCAAGAGTGTATCGCAACGGCTAATTTTTACTTCTTTAAAAAGTTTCAAGTATATATGAACGTTAGGTAACTTAAGTTACATTTTTATAAGAGGATTAGTGTATATACGAATTTACCAAACCAATAGACAATTAACTTAGGGGGATGTATTCAATATAAAATGTTTGGTGATTTTATTTTTAATGAGATTTTAGATGATTTAAGGCCCGGTCCGGGGCATAGGCAAAGGAACTGATCGTTTAGGGCATCTAGATTTTATACATCAATTTTATATGTATATGGGGCACTATAGAACAATTTTATGAAGAACAAGGGCATAAATTTATAGATTAGAATAGGGCATTACAATTGTTTTTAAAAGTTGGACCAGCGTTTTGAGTGATTTTTGTTAAACCATTCTAGAATATTACCTAAAACCATGGAATTTAGATTTTAATTTTTTTTTTAAATAAGAAACTCCACCCAAACACTTTAAAATCATTTGAAAACTTTAAAATTCCATAACTTAAAAAAATTATCAATAACTATGGATTTCACAGTATTTTATAAAAAAAGTTAAGTTCAATAACACTAAATTTTAAATGATTTTTAAAATTCATGTTTGAATAACAGTTGTATCATTTTAAAATAAATCACTTAAAACTCTCAATTTAATATATTCCCTTAGTAAAAAGAATAGAAATTTTGTTAAAATAAAACAAAAAACGCTTTCATGTTGTATTTTTGCCATAATTGCATATAAAAATTGGCCTATATATAAACATATTTTTGGTGAAATCAAATTTATTCTACATAATATGTATTTATATTAAAAAAATAGTACTCCCAATTCTTTATAATAAATATTTATGTGCTCAAAGAGGGCTCATGAACTCGTCTCTACTCTAGTATTTTCCTCAAAGAGGGCTCTCTGGTTTCTCAAAAAGTTCAAGGGAACTGTCAAATATTCTCTTCATAACATCAAACAAGGTTTTATAGCATAACGATCAAACCAAGTTATGTTACAAGCTTGTTTTTTATTTATAAAGACAGAAAAAGACAATAGCAAACTCTTGACGGTTGCTCTTATAAGCAGGACAACAATCACTAGTAGATGATGAGATCTTTTTTAGCCAGGAGGCCAGTTCATTTGGCGTCCTCCAATGAGATGAACATGAATGTGATACACCGATTGACCTGCAAAACACCCCACACGAAGGTGATTAGCATCATTAAACCGATGTCCCTTGATTTTATTTACTAATGCCAATAAAGCTATATATTAATACATACAGCCTTGAGGACCATCGTTGATCACAATTCTGAAACCTTCATCTAGGCCTTCTTGTTTAGCTACAAGCTTGGCAGTGTAGAGAAGGCGGCCCAAGATGTCGATGTGCCTTTCCTCAGCCTACAGTAGCATAACCATACACTTTATTAAGCTTGTGTGTCTTAATGAGATCTCAAGTCCGACAGCTTTCATACTTTTAGCTTGAGTCTTAAGCTTCTGTTTGGATTTGGATTAGTTAGAGGGTTCAACTCTGAGAGGTGAAAGTGAATTAGGTTACCTTAGAGAGGCCAGTTAAGCCATCCCTCACTTTTGGAATGAGGAGGATGTGAACAGGACCCTGAGGGGTTATGTCTCTAAAAGCTAAAACCTGCATCATGCAAAGTGAACTGAGAAAACTTGCCAGAAACAATGATAATGAAGGACGTCTGTGCACAACTATTATATTAAGAGATTAATTTAGTTGTTAAAGCTGACAAAAGAGACTTCAACCATATAAACTAGCTCCCAACGATATACAGTAAATACAGGATTTGCTAGTGAAAAAAATCTACTGGTGAGAGATTTATTAGACCATATAAACAGTTAGAAGAGAAGAGACCATCTTTTTATATGAAATGCATAGCGTAGAAATACTAATGTCACATCTCCACAGTGAAAGTGCTTGGACTGAGCTACTTTAGAGTTTAGAGTATCACTAAATGTAGATATAAAAAAAGGGTTACAAGGATTTTAAAGTACCTTGTCATCCTCATAAACCACAGTGGATGGAATCTCTTTGCTTATGATCTTGTCAAAACTGCATGTTCCAAAGCATAAAATCAAATAAACACCAACATTACCTTTCTATGTGTAACAGTTTTAGTCTTTCTATGCACAAAACAACAATCACTCTACTCTCCGACCACTATACCTTCATTTACATTAGCTAAAAAGCACATGTTCCGTTCGAAAGAGCTAAACTTCACAAAAATACAGACAAAACTCACAAAGGGATCAGACCCACATCACAAAATCAAAGCTTTAATCGACCAAAAGAAGAAGGGAGGAGATCAAAACAGAGGGCTTACATTGTCGGAGAATCGGAAGGAGTGGCGGCTAGAGCAGCCTCTTTCTCTGAAGCCATGACGGGAGATAAATGAGAAGAGACGATCGCAACACGGTGGCTCATGAAGAAGCCCTAAGTTTCTTTATAGTAGTTCCGTCGACGCTGCAACCACTTATCCCGCGCCAATCTGTTTTTACTTAACCAATGAAATACTGACACGTCATAAACGCTTTTGTCTGAATCTCATTTTTTTGATAAAATCAAGTGCTACTATTACTGTGCTTAGTGCGGCCCAAAGCCCAGCCAAATATGGATAATTGGACATTATCGTTAAACAATATAAGCATAATTTGTTTTTTTTGGTCAGATTATAAGCATAATTTATTTGTTACTAGGGTAAATCTGTAGGAGTCCTAAGGGGCGGACGTGTAAATAAACTAAAAAGTACAACTTTATTTTGAATATTTAATTTACTTTAACTAAAAATACATTAAGATTTTTTATTTTAAAGAATTTTATCTATATATTTTAATAATCATTTTGAGATATTATAAACATGTCTAATTATAATAATTTTTTAAAAATGTAATTTTATTTTTTTTCTCAATATTTATTTTATTTTAATTATAAAATTATCACATAGATTTTTTTTTAAATTACAATTAGAATAACTAGAATAAAATTATTTTCTCTCTTAGTTGTATATATATTTGTTTCATGAATTAACTTATTATTTTGCTTGATGCATTATCTTTTAAAACTTAATGATTTAAAATATATAAAAGAAATATTTTGTTCATTATAACTATAAATAGTTGGAGATACATAAATAGATAATATGAAACTATCTTTACTATCATCTGTACACATACATGTTTGTTAGTTTCTTACATATATTATTATATATGAAGTTAACACTGTCATCAATATAAATCCTTAGATTTATTTTATCAGACATAATTATATTACTATCTTTACTATCTTTACTATCTTTACTATCTTTACTGACTAAATCCTTAGAATAATTTTATCAGACATAATTATATTATTATCTATTTTTGTATTTTATTATTGGATAAAATTATATTTTTGGCTATTTGATATTTATATATACTATGTAAAGAATCCGTGTTATGTCACACAGATATTCATTTTATAAACATAAATATATCATACTTGATAACTTATATTTTCATAAAAAATACTTTTTATTTTTCTCAATGAAGTCCTTGTAACATGTGTACAATGTATATTACATGTGTTTATATTCAATTATAGATGCTATTAAAATTTTATACTGGATTTACAATTTCAGATTATAATTTAATTTAATATGTCAATACTAATTTATACATGTCTTTACATATATTTTATTACTATTTTGTAAGTTATTTGAAATTATAAATACAATTTAATATATTTAAAACTAATTAAAAGAAGAAAACACATGTAAACCTAATTATTTACTTAACTAATAAAATTAAATTATAATGATGAGTATGACATTCCTAAGTTATTTGAAGCCATGTAAAAATATATCTATAGTCAAAAATATGATTACATGCCAACGTTAAGAGATATTCTTCAGTAACATGTTTTGTGGTAAATTACACATGTATTTTTCCATATTATTTGTATCTTCTATAAAACTATACTTTTCTTATATTGGTGGTGGATGACGCTAAGCAATCTCTATTTTCTAGAGAAATTTAGACAACTAAGATACTAAAACTATTTAATATTCATCCTAAATCAGTGTTGGATGCATCTATGCATACATACAAAAATTCCATATTTTTTAATATATTTTGAAATCTGTGGGTTAACCCTTTTAATATATTTTGAAATCTGTGGGTTAACCCCTACGAAAAATCAAATTTCAGATAAATGCTATTTTTACTTAAGTTTAACCTCTTTAGTGTTGTTTAAAATATCTAACCATATTCAAAATTTATACCAATGTATCCTAAATTTATTTTCTTAGTACATGGACATCAGTTATAATTTTTCAACAAGTAATTTAATAAAACTTCATATACCACGTAAATCAAAGAACTAAACTTTATGAATCTTTATATTCTAGAGAAATTGGAACAACAAATGTGTCAAAAATCCATGATCTCCATCATATATTTGTTCTGGATGCATCTATGCTTTAAAAGAAAAGTACCATATTTTATAATTTATCTTGAAATCTGTAGGTTAATACCCCTACAAAAATATCAAATTTTTCATAAATGTTATTTACTAAATTTTAAGCTCTTTTTGTTGATTAAAAATAGCTAATCACATTATATATTTATATTTATGTATGTTAAACTTATTTTCGTCGTACACGGGCATCATTTCTAATATTTTACTGAGTAATTTAATAAAACTTCATATTCCATCTAATTAAATGAAATAACCCCTATAAAAATTTTAAGTTCTAGTGCATGATGAAGTTATGCATTAAAACAAAATAACATATTTTTAATTTATCTTACTGAAAAGATCGAGTTTGTTTCCGTTAAATGTTATACATACTAATATTTAGCCTCATTAATGTTTTTTAAATATCTAACCACACTCTAAATATATATTAATTTATTCTAAACACATTTTCATGGTATATGTGCATCATTTCTAAGTTTTCCAATGAATAGTTGTTTTAAAATTCATATACGACCTAATTAGTGTACTAACCCTTATAAAATATCTATTTTCAAGAGAAATGAGAACACCTAAGCTCTCGAACCTCTTTAATCTTCATACTATATCAGTGCATGATGCAGTTATGCGTTAAAACAAAAATATCATATTTTCCATTTTATCTTAAAATAAGTTGGTTAACCCTTATAAAAAGATTAATTTTTTCTATAAAGACTATCTATACTATTTATCCTCTATAGTGTTGTTTAAAAGTACCTAAAAACACTGAAAATTTATATATATGTATGCTAAAGTTATTTTTATGATACTTGAGCATCATTTCTAATTTTCCAATGAGTAATTTATTTAAACTTCATATACCAACGAATAAGTGGACTAACTCCAATAAAAATTCTATTTTATGAAGAAACAAGAACACATAAGGTCTCAACCCTCTTTATTCTCCATAATATATACATGATGCAGAAATTTAATAAAATAAAAATAGCATGTTATATAATTTATCTTGAAATATCTAGGTTAACACCTACAAAAAAATCGAGTTTTCCGATAAATGTTATATATAAGACTTTTTAAATTTGTTTAAACATACCTAACCACATTCAAAATTTATATTAATGTATAAAACTTATGTTTATGGTACATGGACATCAGTTACATGTTTTATAATTTATCTTCAAATATCTAGGTTAACACCTACAAAAAGATCGAGTTTTCCGATAAATGTTATATATAAGACTTTTTAAATTTGTTTAAACATACCTAAACACATTCAAAATTTATATTAATGTATAAAACTTATGTTTATGGTACATGGACATCGGTCTTAATTTTCAACCAATGAATTTAAAAAAACTCCATATATCACCAAAATCAATGAACTAAACCCTATAAAATCTATATTTTCTAGAGAAATTTGGACAGCTACGGTATCAAAAATCTTTAAAATTCATCCTATATCAGTGTTAAATTCATCTATCCATATATATAAAAATACCATATTTTATAATTATTTTGAAATATGTGAGGTAACCTCTACGCAAAAATCAAAATTTTCAGATAAATGTTGTTTGTACTTAACTTAACCTCTTTTGTTTAAAATATTTAACCACATTCAAAATTTATACTAATGCATCCCAAATTTATTTTCATGGTACATGGGCATTAGGTATATATTTCCAACAAGTAATTTAATAAAAATTTATATACCACGTAAATCAAAGAACTAAACCTTATGAAATATTTATATTCTAGAGAAATTGGGACAATAAAGGTGTCAGACATCCTTGATATTCATCATATATCTGTGCTGGATGCATTTATGCATTAAAATAAAAATATCAAAATTTATATTTTTTCTTGAAATTTGTGGGTTAACCCCTACAAAAAGATAGAATTTTCCGATAAATGCTATATACTGACGTTTAAGCACTTTCTTATTGATTTCATAATTCTGAATCACATTATACGTTTATATTAATGTATCTTAACCTTAATTTTATGGTACATGGACATCTTTTTAATAATTTAATGAGTAATTTAATAAAATTTTGTATTTTACCTAATTCATTGGACTAACAACCCGTATATAATTTATACTTTCTGGAAAAACGGGGACAAATAAGTTCTCATACCTATTTAATTTTTATCACATGTCATTTCATGATGAATTTACGCTTTAAAACACAATACAATATTTTCTAATTTATCTTACGAAAAGATCGAGTTTTTTTCAATAAATGTTATATATACTAACGTTTAGTCTCATTAATATTTTTTTTTAAAAAAAAACTAACCACACTCTAATGCATATTAGTTTTTGATAAACATACTTTCACGGTACCGAGTATCATTTTTAAATTTCCAATGAATAATTTTTTAAAACTTCATATACGATCTAATTAGTGCATTAACCTCTATATAATTTCTATTTTCTAGAGAAATGAGAATACTTAAGGTCTCAAACTTCTTTAATATTCATACTATGCCAGTGCATGATGTATCTATGCATTAAAACAAAAATTACCTATTTTCTAATTTATGTTAAAATATGTTGGTCAAACCTTACAAAAATATTGAATTTTTTTATAAAGACTATCTATACTATTTAGCCTCTTTTGTGCTGTTTAAAAATACTTTACCACACTCCAAATTTTTATATATGTATGATAAAGTTATTTTCATGGTACATGGGCATCATTTCTAATTTTCCAATGAGTAATTTATTTAAACTTCATATACAAACTAATAAGTAGACTAATCCCAATAAAAACTTTATTTTATGGAGAAAAAAGAACACCTAAGGTTTCAACCCTTTTTATTCTCCATATTATTTCAGTGCATAATGCATCAATTCATGAAAATAAAAATAATATATTTTTTTAATTTATTTGAAATATGTGGGTTAACCCCTACAATAAGATCGAGTTTTCAATAAATGTTATATATAGGCCTCTTTATATTTGTTTAAAATATCTAATCATATTAAAACTTCATAATAATGTATTAAATTTATGTTCATGGTACATGAGCATCAGTCTTAATTTTCAACCAATGAATTTTAAAAAACTTCATATACCACAAAAATCAATGATTTTTGTACTTAAGTTTAAATCAATGATAGGGTATAAAAAACTTCATATACCCTATCAAAACTATATTTTCTAGAAATTTTTGGACAGCTAAGTTATCAAAACTCTTTAAAATTCATCTTATATCAGTTTTGGATGCATCTATGCATAATACGAAAATTCCATATTTTCTAATTTATTTTGAAATCTGTGGGTTAAATCTTACGAAAAAACAAAATTTTCAGATAAATGATATTTGTACTTAAGTTAACCTCTTTCTTGTTGTTTAAAATATCTAACAGCAATCAAAATTTATAATATTTATTCTAAATTTATTTTCATGGTACATGGGCATCAGTTATAATTTCCCAACAAGTAATTTAATAAAAATTCATGTAGAACGTAAATCAAATAACTAAACCTTATGAAATCTTTATATTCTAGAGAAACTGAGACAATAAAGGTGTCAGAACTCTTTGATCTTCATCCTATATCTTTTCTGGATGCATCTATGCATTTAAGTAAAAGTATCATATTTTCCAATTTATCTTGAAATATGTGCGTTAACCCCTGTGAAAAGATTGAATTTTTGATAAATATTATCTATACTATTTAGTATATTTAGTGTTATTTAAAACTACATAACCACACTCCAAATTCATATATAGGTATGCTAAACTTATTTTTCATGGTAGATAGACATCATTTGTAATTTTCCAAGGAGTAATTTATTTAAACTTTATATACCACCTAATAAGTGGATTAACCCCTATAGAAACTCCATTTTCAATAGAAACGGAAACACCAAGGTCTCAAAAATCTTTGATCTTCATAATATGTTAGTGAATGATGCAGCATTCATTAAAACAAAAATATCATATTTTTTAATTTATCTTGAAATATGGAAGTTAAAATCCACAAAAAGATCGAGTTTTTCGATAAATGTTATATATATGCCTCTTTAGTTTTGATTAAAAATACCTAAACAAATTCAAAATTTATATTAATGTACTAAACTTATGATCATGGTACATGGACATCAGTCTTAATTTTCAACCAAGGAATTTTAAAAGACTCCATATACCATCAAAATCAATGAATTAAACTCTATAAAATCTATAATTTCTAGAGAAATTTGAACATATAAGGTATCAAAACTCTTTAAAAATCATCATATATGAATAATTACAACTTTTCAAGTTAAAGTTAGTTATTTTAAAGAATGGTCATAACTTTCGAATTATTGGTAGTAAAAGTCACAATCTTTCAAGTTAAGTTAGTTATTTTTATGAATAGTCACAACTTTCAAATTAAAAATAGTGAATCGTCATAATTTTCAAAGTAAAATTAATTATTTTTATGAATAATCACAACTATCTAATTATAGGTAATTATTTTAAATGTTATATTTACATTATGTATTTGAATAGACGTATCATTTCAAAATCACAATTATTATATAAAAATTAACTATTTTAAAAATAACTAAATTTTAAATAGACGCACTATTTAAAAAAAATAGTTTCATTACAGAAAAATATCTTAAGTATTTTTTAAAAATCTAATTTTTCTTTGCAATAGAAAGACATAACCTTTCACTTAGATGGATTTCACAACATTTGACATTAATGGAGATTGCTATTATTAATAGAATATATATATATATATATATATATATATATATTTATCTAATACATATTTAAAAATAAAATAAACCATGTTATCAAAATAATTATTAGAGTTTTTAAAATAAATATTACTGACTAACTTATAAAATATAACCTTACACTAATTTTGTTATACATATTTAAATTATTATATGTACTCTATAATTTTTTATGCTTATATAATGGATTCATCTTCTTGTTCTTGATTATCTTGTTCTTTCGTGTCCGTTATAACAAATTAGGTTTAGTCATCCTAAAATAGTTGAAAAATGACAAATTTTAGACTATAAAACTGAAGTAAAATAAGTATAAAATATATACATATATTATATACAGAGACATATATATAATTCCGGTGACGACTCCGCCGAGTCTCCATCGATGATTCAGGTGCCGGAGCTTAAATTTTGTCATCACACCGTCGGAGCTTCAAGCGAACCTGTCATACATAAGCCAATTACATTACATACGAGAGAATTATTAACTATGTATGATCATCAAAGTATTAACACTCTCACGATAGACAATAAGTTAAAAGCCAAGGCAACAAACACAAAGACAAAGTAGAAGTGAACAAAGAAAGTGATAGTGAGTAGGGGTTTTGGTAACAAACTCATGAGATAAGATTCCATGGACCCCATAACACGATGCTTAATGCTTAGGGCTAATTATAGTCAGAGATGACAACACATAATTAAGGAACAAAAATAGAATAATTATCTAACATGTAATGTAAGTAAGAAATACTACTTTACAGCTTAGCATAAAAATAAGAGTAAGTATATCTAATTAAAGTCAAATTCATCTTTCACTGTAGATTTGTAGTACGCTCTTGTTATACCACAAACAGAAAGTAAAAGTGAGATTATGATGTCTGAACCGTCTATTCATGTTAACGTGACCAGAATATCACATGCTCTGCTTAGCCTTTTTCAACACTTTAGTGAAAACAGCATATATTATTATTTATATTGGAATTTAATTAAGAAAATTCCTTAAAATTAAAGTCCTTGATTGATTCTAGAGATAGAGCCCCACGCTCTAATGATGTTAATGATTTTGTCCAGTAATATGCGGTGATGAGTTTATCTAATTAATTAGATATCTGTCAACCTAACTAATTGTCTAGCTCATTAAATCCTAATACCAAATGAAATAAGCAATTTTAGCAAAATCAATAGCGTATGCCATTACCAGTTAATATATGACACACAAATTAACGAAATAAAGCTTAACATTAAGTATTTGGGATAGAGACATAAGCAAAATGATGTAATCTGAAAACGATTTTAACTTCCACTAGATTGGCTATGTAAGTCGTAATGTTAACGGCGTCTCTTTAGGGGGAAAACTAATTGAGTTTGACCTTTCAACCAATACATTAGATTCCACCAAATATAGTACTCATGACTACACGCCAAATTCTCCAAAAAAATGTTTGCAATAATGCTTGTAGCTATCTTTTCCAATTTTATAATAACGTTTTGTAATTTCGTATTGCTTTTCATAGTAAGGTTAGGTAACAGATTGAGCTCTCCAAATTTAATAATGGATTTAGATGTAAAATATTGGAAGTCACAGAATGATTTGACGCAAAAACTGATTATGTATAATCGTTTAAACATGCTTGAACTCCTATATATTAGACCATATAAATACACATACAAAACCAAACGAAATAATCCCAAGAAAACATAATCTACCAGACCAAAACTGATCTGGGAACTTTGATTTTTCTTAAGATTCTTTGCTTAAGATGCAAACGAAATAAACAGAAGGATTAATGATAATGGTGGTTAAGGAATCATGATTAGATCCAAACCAAAGCTAACTATAAACACACAAAATTAATATTTACTCTATTTCATATTAAGTATTACAGCAGAAAAATATCTCATTTCAAAATAAATGTTTTTTTTTTGTTAACCATGGTGTGATCCTAAAAATTTCCTAGGCCTAAAGACTAATCATCATGAGCGCCACAGAAATTCAGATTTTCTTACCATTTAAGACGTCTATGGATGGTCAACGGAAATCGAACCCAGGGTAGAAACTAATTCAAAATAAATGTTGTTTATAATTTTTAATATAAATATTTATTAATTTATTATGTAATTTATTTTTTTAGTTAAATTATGATTAAATATATAAGTAATTGTATTTTTATATAGAAAATATGTAAAAATAATTATTTTTTTAATTTGCGTTTATAAAGTTAAAATGACACTAGAGTAATAATGTAAAAAAAAAAAGTGAAAGAAAGAAAATCTATGGAGCCAGGGACAAGGGCCCCCACCACAACGATTCACACTACTCGCGCCAAAAGCGTGTGTATCAAACGCCATGTAACAAGCGCGTCGTCCAACAGAAAAAAAAAAAGAGCGACCAGACCGGGACACTGTCAACAAATAATCCTTCTTTTTTTTGCACTCTTTGGGTTCTTAACGATGATGGCGTGAAGTAGAGAGAGAGAGATAAAGAGAGGCAGATAGATAAAGTAAGCAGGTTTGGTTAGAAGAGAGAAGATTCATAGAAACAAAAGTGTCTCTTTTTTCCTTCTCCTCTGCATTTCTCCATTTTATCTTGTTTTCTTTGACACTTTTGTTAAAAGCTAAAGAAAGAGAGAAAAAGATGTCCAACGACGAAGACTAGACACAGAGAGAGAAAAGACCCACTTCACTTTCTTCTTCTTATCCTTCTTCTTCTTCCTAAGATCCTCTGCTTCTGAGTCTTCAGGAACATCCGTAAGTTTGTACCTTTCGAGTTGATTCTACTTGCATTTCTCCTGAGTTTTTTGTCGTATTATGTTTCATCTATGTACGTTTAGTTGTAGGAGTTAGAAAGTCTGCACCTTTAGTCTTCACTTTCTTTTGATGTTCTGAGTTTTTCTCAATTAATGCAAAACATGGTCGATTCTATAATGCATTTTCTAGTTATGTCTTAATCGTTTTCTCAGATTAGTAAAAAGTAAAATTAAAAACTTTTTGTCAAATCGTTAAAAAAAATCATTTGATCCGTGATAAGTTTCACTTATAGAGGTTACCTACTTACTTACCTTCATTGCATTTTTCCTGTGAAAATAAAATGTTCTTAAACTGAATGATTTTGCTTCTTTTTTTTTTTTTGGGGTTAAAACAGATAAAAAAATTCCTGGAAAAAAATGACGAAAGTGTGTCCTGAGATTGAAGAAAGGACATTACAAGAACCAGTTATTACAGTATCATCAGATGTGAGCTTTGCTTCTAATCATTTTCCAACTTACAAACTAGGACCTGAGAACCAGATTGTAGAGGAACCTAAAGAAGATGAGAAAGGTCCATCAGTTCAAGACACTGTTGAGAAAGAGAGTGAGCTCTTGTCTGATCAGCACAAGCGTCTCTCAGTGCGTGACTTAGCTAGTAAATTTGACAAGAACTTGGCTGCAGCTGTTACTTTGGCTGATGAGGTTTCCTTCTGATTTTACATAACATTTTTCCTCTCTTTTTTGTTGTTGTTAAAGTTTTATGTAAATTTTTAGGCGAAATTAAAAGAGGCGGCTTCTTTAGAGGGACATGTTATGTTGAAGAAGCTAAGGGATGCTTTAGAATACATGAGAGGACGCATGGATGGTCAAAACAAGGAAGATGTGGAGAAAGCTATCTCTATGGTTCTTACTTGTTCTTAAACTTTAAGTCTCTTGTTCATCTCAATTTTGATTGATGATTCTTGAACTAACGGTGTGTGTGATCAAACTGTGAATAGGTTGAAGCATTAGCTGTGAAGTTAACTCAGAATGAAGGTGAGCTAATTCAAGAAAAGTTTGAAGTGAAGAAACTTGGAAACTTTCTCAAGCAGGTCTCCTCTCAATGCTTACATGTCTCTTGCTTACGATTCTTATTTAAGTCTTTGCTCTCATGATGTTAGGCTTCAGAAGATGCAAAGAAGCTGGTAAACCAGGAAAAATCATTTGCTTGTGCTGAGATTGAAAGTGCGAGAGCTGTAGTGCTTAAACTTGGAGAGGCATTTGAAGAACAGGAGAGAATTTCTGAAGCTTCTAGAGCTCAGGGACCTGTTAGTTCCATCTACTCTAGCATTATAATTTGATTGTTTCTTTTGTATTATGTTCTTTCTTATCAAGTTATGTTTTCATTATAACAGGATGTTGAGAAACTGGTTGAAGAGGTCCAAGAAGCTAGACAGATCAAACGTATGCATCACCCAACAAAGGTGTCCCATCATTTTTTTCATAATTTATATATGGTTACACTAAATATTATAAACTGTATGTGTTATATAAAGAGTATGTTGTAATGCAGGTGATGGGGATGCAACATGAGCTTCATGGTTTAAGAAGTCGACTCCAAGAGAAGTATATGAACTCTATTAAACTTCATCAAGAGGTATTCTTTTGTGTGTGCATTGACTCAGCATTTAGTTAATTCTTTTGCTGACATTTTTGTTCTTCTTGTCTTTGACAACAACTGTTAAACATCTCAAGATCAAGAGAGTTGAGGAATCCAAGTCGTGTCCATTTGTTCTAGAAGGCACACAGAGTCTCGGCTCTTGCTTAAGAATCCATGTCTCCTCAGAACATGCTATAGATCTTTCAAACTGTTCGATCCAGTGGTGCCGTGCAGCATGTGAAACAAGTAGAAGAGAAGCTATATCTGGTACTTGTTCCTATCTGTTTGCTTCATCATTTGGTTTTTAGTAGCTTGAGGAGTTTATGTTTTTGGACTCAGGTGCAAACCAATCAGTATATGCTCCAGAACCATTTGACGTTGGGAGGATATTACAAGCAGACATTCTCTCAAATGGACAGAAAGTCACTGTTACAACAGATGGTCCAATAGCATCTGGTTGGTATTACAAAATTTATATTTGATTTACAAATATTTAAAGTGAATGTTTGGCTTATTGAACTGCAGATTCTAGCTTGCAATCCCGCGTAGAGTCTCTGATGCGAAAATCAAACAGTGAATTCAATGTAATGTTACAACATTCATCTGATTTTATATGTGGGGAGAGAGTTACATTGAGATAATGTTCTAATAAGCTGAACTTTTTAAACTCTTCTTCAGGTGGTTATATCACAGATGAATGGACAAGACTATGCATCTCGAACTCATGTCTTTACAGTTGGAAAGACAAGGATAAAATTGTCTCGAGGTTGGATCACAAAGGCGAGAGAAATATACTCCACATCCATGCAGGTATCTAGAGATTGTGACCTGACACGAAGCAACTCTTTTTGACATTCCATGAAAATTTCTTACAAGTGTATAAGTTCTTATTTTTGGTATATTAATAATTCAGCTCTGTGGAGTTAGATGCAATATCAAGGCTCCTGCAAAGGCATTGTTCTGGCAACCAAGAAAGAGTTTAACTTTCATACTAACCTTTGAATCAGAACAAGAACGTAACACAGCCATAGTCCTTGCTNAACTCTTTTTGACATTCCATGAAAATTTCTTACAAGTGTATAAGTTCTTATTTTTGGTATATTAATAATTCAGCTCTGTGGAGTTAGATGCAATATCAAGGCTCCTGCAAAGGCATTGTTCTGGCAACCAAGAAAGAGTTTAACTTTCATACTAACCTTTGAATCAGAACAAGAACGTAACACAGCCATAGTCCTTGCTCGAAAATACGCTTTTGATTGCAATGTAAGCAAAACTTTCTGTTTAAAATGCTATTGTTAGACTCTGGTTATCACTGTGGTTTACATGAGAAGCTTGCTTATATCTCTGCAGGTTACACTGCTTGGGCCAGATGATTAAACAAATAGTGAACAAGACATTGTCATTAACCCACAACCTCCTGATTTTTTTTTTGGTTTAGTGTGTTGTTTGTTTGTTTTTTTTTTTTCACACTGTGGTTCAAAGAAGGAAGGTGCAAGTTTGGCTTCTCATTCATCATCCAATGTTGCTTGCTGCATAGAGTTTTATTATAGGCAGCAGATTTCATTTTTTTTTTCCTTCTTTTACCAGTTCATCAGTTTGATATGGTTGCCATTTCTGATTTGTTTTGGTTTGTTTGCTTGATTTCTATTTTTTTTTAATGATTTAGGACCCAACAGTTTTCACCAGTTTATGAGTTTGAGATCAGAAATACAGAGTTGTTTGTAACTATTACAAGCTTATGAGACTTTTCCATTTTCAGTATGTGTAAATAAGTAAATGGTACATAATCACTAGATGGTGATTTAGTGGCAAATGAGTATGCAACAAGGATTCGAAAGCACTTCACTACACTTCATTCATTGTGTGACCACGCGGGTAGGAATCCTTTAGTGACGGCCCATTTGAATACCGGGAGAAACAGTTCATATGTGAGCTTCACCTCCTCTTGGGAGATTAGTTTCTACCCTTTCATAAGTCTCAAATACATAGATTAAGAAAAAAAGTATATTGTACATGTCTTTGAATATTACTAGAGAAGTTGATTAAGTACATCATTTAGGGCTGGCATGATCCAAATATTAGCATAAGGATCAGACTTTTTCCACTTCAAGGAAACTACACTCTCTTCTTCATCAACCTTATAGTATACACAAGTCCTCTTGAATCCATGGAACACAGAGAGACACAGACAGTTCTCTATTCCACTTGGCTGCTTCTGCTCAGCTCTAACTTCAGAACACAAAGCACTAGCGTAGATCGTCAAGCCACCCAGTGTCTTCCTCTCAGTCCACTCACAGCTTGTAGAGTCAAGTCTAAGCACTGTTGGGTTCATGTGGCTGTACATGTATATGAGGAAAATCTCTCCTTGGTGTTGTGTCATGAAACATCCGTTGCTTCCATGATGTTTAAGAGGTACTCCAAGAACGTTCCAAGAGCTCAAAGACGGGTTAAAGATCGATAAGTGGCCAGTGTTTGTGAGGCAGTAAAAGACTCTATTGGAAAAAACAATCTGCTCGAAAGTGATGTTGTCAGGTAACTGATTCTTGAACACAAATGTCTTCCACTCTTTATCATTAGGACAACATGTCTTGACGGTGATGTTGTTATCCACATTTACATCCCTGACTGTGAACAAGAGACAGTTACTTGACGTAGGAGCACAAGAGAAAGACATTCTCTGATCATAAGCCATCCAAAGAGGTGGCAAGGGGATGAGATCACGAGTAAACGGATTGAAGAAGAAGAGTTCAAACGAGTTGGGATTGTACATGAGTAACCAACTTTCTTTTGAGTGACAAACACGAGAGCCAGAGAGCTCAGGAAACTCAAGACTGTACGTTTTCTGCGTTGTTGGGTCATAGAGTTCACATGATGACTCCTCTGTTTTGGAAAAGTAGATGAGCCAAGGAGGTGTATCTGGAACTCTAACGGAAAGACAAGCTTGTTGCCATGTTTTGGAGACAGTAGAAGCACGGATGTTGTCTTTTAATGGAAGATGGGTAACTATAAGTTGTAAGAGATCATAAGGAAAGTCTAAGAATGTTTGGTTCTCTTCATTTCCCACCATACTGTTATTGCTTCACCTGTAGAAGTAACATTCCAAGTCTCAAAAATCTCAAAAGGTGAAAAACATTACAGGTTAAAGAACTCTGAAACTATACAAGTCCTTATAACTAGAACTGTTATTTATCCAGACAAAAGAAAGTACAGATAATGAGAACTCACGATCCAAGCTTGCAGCTTCTTGTGCAAGAGACCGGAAGAAGATTCTCCTGGCAGATAGATTGGAGATCGAAGAGTGATTTATGATAGTTATCTAGGTCGCTCCCACTTTCATTTTGCCATCCAAAAATGGGCATCATTGACTTTTTGGAAGTAAAGGTTCGGTTTAGCCCGGTTACCACCAAATCAATTTGAAAGACGGTTTAAAATTATTAAAAGGAGTTTTTTTTTTGATATTTTTGTTTATCTGATGGAAGTTAAACAAGTAGAATTCTTTTACCAACAACATTGGTAAATCACTTTAATCTCACATTTGAAAACAAAAGCCAGCTTTCCCAATAGGAACGAATATGCAGATATATTATTGTTAACATGAAGCTATTCTTCATTAAAATATTTCTCTAGTAATCCATTCTAGAGTATACTTCTAAAACAACAGCATCCTGTTTTTTTTTTTAATTTTCACAAACTCTTAAATTATGATTCAAAATGAAACTAACTAATGTTCAAAAATACAAATCTTTCTAACCATTAGTTTTGGTGACGACTGATGCTACCAAAAGCTTGTTAATTTACAGTTTTAAATGGTATAAATAAAAAACAATTTGTGGAAATCAATTTATGTAGACAAATAGAATTAACTCAACTAAGTTGATTAATTGATATGTTTTGTAATACATTTGTAGGCTAACCCTTTTCACTATCCTCTGCAAATTCTGCACAAATTGTGTATTAAGAAAGAATATCATTAAATCGCTTACTCAAATTTCGTATATCACTTATATATATTAATTATATTGTTTGATGTAATTTTGTATTATACAATTTTACTATGTTTTATGTATATGTAAGCTATACCATTCTAATGAATATAGTAGTGTGAATGATGTTTATGATAATGTATCATTTCCATTTTAAACAATATAAAATCATATTATATTATTGCAGAGATAAAAGATCAAAGAGAAAATGGTCAATATACAAATGACAACTAGTTTGAAAGCTTCATGGTTTACATCCATGTAAAAAGGCGTCTAGTTGACTATCCCAGCATTATCAACAATGGGTTTGAATCTGATTTTCTCTAGAAAAAGAATAAAACCAAATTTCAAAATATTATAATTACACAAACCTGTTTCTATTAATTATTAAGTAAATAAATGAATTAGAAAAGTCACCTTTAGGAGTGTAGTTCCCCTCAATCAATCTTTTTGAATAACAGTTGATCCCCAATTTTCATGTGTGACCCAAAATCGCATGGCGGAAGCTGGGGACGGCGGGTTCGGCGGCAGCGAGGATGAGGTTAACCAAGAACCAGTGAACATGCAGAACCAGTTAGTCGATCACTTCGGTAATGGAACTACTCAAATTCTATAGATCGATTGTGTTTATAAAACAAAAATTAGATAATAAGATGAAACTATATTCCATTAAACAACATCATCATGTTTACTTTTATTTTTTAATTTTCACAAGATCTTAAATTATGATCCAAAATGCAACTAACTAATGTTCAAAAGTATCAATTTTTTTGAAAAAATTTCTTATCAGTTATATGTTCACCAGCAGTTTTGGTGACAATTGATGCTACCAAAAACTCGTTGATTTACAATTTTAAATGCCATAGAATTACAATTAATTATGAAGTATATTGTGATGTATTATTGATGGGTACTACATAAATATATACATTAAACATAATCAAAATGGCATAACATAGAGATTACATATGATAACATAACTAATGATATATGAAATTTAATAATCATCACTTGTCTTTCATTTTTAAAATATAGTCTTCTACTAATAGTTTTAATTCTTATATTTATAACTTTTATTTTATATAAATTTTCCTAATTTATTTTGTGTCTTTTAACAATAACTATTTTTCATTTGAAGATTCAAAGTTAAAATTATTCACTGAAAGAACTCTTGCAAAAAGATAGAATTTTATTTCAATTCTTAAGTTTTATACAAGTTTGTGTATACATTCAAACCGATTAAACATCAATTTTAAGAAGAAAAGATCAACAATTTCTTGTATCTGCTTTATTCTGAATATCTAAATGATTTTGAAAAAACTTGAAGCAGTGTATCTTATTTTTATTACTAGATCTTATGTTTATGTTTCTAGAGCCAATTATCGTAGTATTTTCATTTTAAAACTTCTGATTGCTAATCACGTATTAGAAACAAAATTTATTAAAAATGCTCTCATATGTGATATCATCATTAGCTCGTTAACAATTTGTATCATAAGTATTGACTATTGTGCTTACGAAGAGTCGAAATTGCCACGACAAAGACGTGATAAGACAAGAAAACTCAAAGGAGTTGATGTTCTTTATGATCCCGTAAGAGGTAAAACTCACAAAGGAGTCCATGTATTAGTAATAATGTACATTGTCCCAATCAAGAATACAATTCCTTTAATCAAGTAAAGCTTGGAAGAATCAACTTTCACCAAATTTATATACAAAGCCAGTGGTTATGTACGTAGAACTTTGAAACCGAGGACACGTTCTGGCTAGCTTAGGGTCTCCGGCTTCAGAAAGCGGACGTATTCAAGCTGAGTCATCTCTCCTCCGTTCACTGGATCGAAACTGCACCTGTAGAAACTGCAGGGCCGATAAATCAGACGTGAGTTTGCTGGTCACTTTATGGTAATGATATTATGACTTGTGTAATGGAAACACATGATTGATTGTTAATGATTTAGAAAGGCTTGTTACCTTCCATCCATGCCGATAATGGCGATTGTGTTCTGAGCACCAAATGCTGCAAAGAATTGGGTGACTTCTGGTACATGGAACTGAGCAAATGACCACTCCGAGCTGAAATATCTTGGCAACACTCCTGCAACATTGTATGAAGATGTTAGGTACAAGACAGAAGCATGTGTTGTTGTTCCAGACTAACACATTCCAAGCATCTAAACGACGCGGTACTATTATGTTCACTGATTTTAATGGATTCAAGCTACAAAAGATCCTTCTCATGAACCAAGAAGTCTTTTTATCTTGGAACTTTCACAAATTTACTGTCTCAGCATTATTTACCGACGTCTCTAGCAACTCTTATGGAAAACAGTAAACATTATACTTCACGGTAACAGTAATTTTTTTAAAGATGTTGCCTAGTTTACTTTACCTCTCAGAAATGACAATGAAGAACCAGGGTTGACACCACTGGCTGGAGTTACAAGACCCTGCAGGGAATTTGAAGATGTCTCGTGCTCAGTGGAGGGTGAGTCCTCTCCAGAAACCCTCACTCTAAGGGAGAAAATATGAACAGTTCCCTTGTCGCTTGATACTGCCAGCCACTGCACATTCGGTGAAAGAGCAATACTGTAGATATCTGCTCTGTCCGTTCCTCTTCGGACCTGTAACAAAGGAGTATTAGATTTATTAAGCATACTAACCAATCAGTATTGAGCATACAAACTGCATAAGATTCTATCTAACTAATTCTTTAATGTTATTTCTATATGAATCATGACAGATAATTATGCTTGCTCAACCATTGCCTAAGAAAAGGTGACATATAAAGCAGTAGTTCATAGTTACTATACCTCTTGCAGACGAGTTCCATCCATTGTGTTGAAAATTCTAATTAGAGTTCCCTTTGTACTGGCGGTTGCAAGAAGCAACCCATCCAGTGTCATGGTCATGCACGCGATATTAGAATCATGAGCGTTAATGATCTGTACCATGTTAAGCCCAAAATGTTCAACTCGAACCTCTCCTCTACGAACACCTGGACAAGCCAGCACAGATGTATTCATATGATGAGAAAGGCAACATAATCCTCTTGGATTCGCCAGGTTTTCAATCTGATGAAGAAGTCTTAGGTCAATGAAATTGTAGACATATATCTTGTGTTCAAGAACAACAACAATCCGATCCCTTCTTAGCTTCACTGCACGAATCTCCGACCTGAAAGAGAATTCACTGATGCAGCGGCTCTGGTGATCATCCCAAATCAATACTTTATTTGAAGGGTACTGAGAGTTCGGTCCACCGCCAACGAGTGCCAAGATATTACTACGGAAAAGCATCTCCACGATTTTGAAACCCCCATCCTTCAGCTCCCTCCTGAAAGTTTCCTTGAAAGGCTCGCAGTTATATATCCGAAAACCATGGCTGGTTCCAGAAGAGAAACAGCTGGAATCCTGATTCCAAGAAACAGAAACCAACTCTGCTCCATCACTACTGTCATCAAAACCTGGTTCTGGAGACCTAAAAGCGCCATTATTCCGAGATTCATAGCCTCGTGGGTGGAGGGTCCCTTGTGAGTTGGAAACAGTTGAAGTCATTGTTCCTTAACAGTTGCAAGCTGAAATCAAAAACCAAATAACAAAAGTAATGATTAACCCCCACTTCTCTTTACAGAAGATCCAAAAAATGCAGATAAAAGGCATAACTGTAAGAGTTGAGTCATGCAAAACCATTGTCATATTCCTGATGAGACATCAATCAAACCCTAAAACGCCAGTCACTTCATAATCCTAATCTTACAAAGACTAATACACAATGCCTTCTATGAACTCAAGCTAATCAAACGCAAAGTGCAAACAGATGAATAAGCTTCCTTCAATCAAAACAGGTCATGACCACATAATCAATGTATCCAAAGATCACTTGCATAATAAAAAAAAAACTGCAATAGTGAGTAAACCATCTAAAGAAACCAATTTCCACAATCTGAAAGACAAAAGTTACAAGAGTTGAGTCATGCCAAACCATAGTCATATACCTGATGAGACATCAATCAAAACCCTAAAACACTATAGCCAATTCATAATCCTAATCTAACAAAAACTAATACACAATGCATTGTAGATACTTAAAGNAAAAAAACTGCAATAGTGAGTAAACCATCTAAAGAAACCAATTTCCACAATCTGAAAGACAAAAGTTACAAGAGTTGAGTCATGCCAAACCATAGTCATATACCTGATGAGACATCAATCAAAACCCTAAAACACTATAGCCAATTCATAATCCTAATCTAACAAAAACTAATACACAATGCATTGTAGATACTTAAAGCTAATCCAACTCAACGTGCAAACATACCAACAAAGCTTTCTTCAATAAAAACAAAGTCATGACCACATAGTCTATGTATCCAAAGACCACTTGCACAATAATAAGAAACTGCAAAAGTAAGTACGCCATCTACGGAAATCAGTGTTCCACAATGAATTTGAAAGACATAACCTGGTGATACATCAATCAAACCCTAAAACACTATAACCAATTCATAATCCTAATCAAACAAAACTAATACACAATGCATTGTAGATACTCAGAGCCTGTCCTGGGTCAAGCCTGTTGAAACATTCGCTTCAGCCCCCCCCCCCCAAAATTTCCAAAACAAATATTTGTACATAGGCCCCTAAAATCTCAGGGCCGGCCCTATAGATACTTAAAAGCTAATCCAACTCAAAGTACAAACAAATCTTTCTTCAATCTCATGACCACATACTCAATGCATCTAAAGATCACTTGCATAGTAAAAAAAAAATTGAAGAGATCAATTTCCACCATGATCTCTACCTCGTCTACCTGAAAACACTTATCTGAGTATCTCTTCATCATACATTAACGATCACATCAAACAAACAGTTCTAACTCCTAAAATCCTAACAATCCAGATTCCAAATTCAAATCTACACGAACAAACACAGCCAACAAACTTAGATTCCGATCAAACAAATTAACGAAGAAGATACAGATCGTCGACTCGAACATGATGATCAAAATTTCTCTCACCGATTAAAAACGAAAAGATAGGGCGAAAGGATTCAATGCTGCTGATGATTCAACGATGAACAATCTCTCTATCTTCTTCTTCGCTTCGGATAGGTTCGTTCCCTCTGTCTTGCTACTTAAACACACAATTTTATCTTCGTAGAAAAGTTCCGATATTTTATTTTTTTATTATTATTTTAATTGGTTGGATATATCCCATCTTTAGTCAACTGTCGTCATAAATAATAAACCTTTTTCTAATACAAGCAAAGAATCGTTACTGAGGCGCATAGGTCTGGGCTTTCGGCGGTCCATTTGATATCGATCTGAATGATTCGGATTTTCGATGTTATGTTCATAAGTACCATTTGGTTTTTACTATTTATCGAATTGGATTTGGATCGGTTCCTTCCAGATTCGATTCGGATCGGATCTAATCAATATTTAAAATCGGTTAAAATTAATTTTTTGAAAACCTCAAAAATTAACAATTTTTTTCCAAATATATAAATTATTTACAAATCTAATTAAAAATTAGTTAAACTATCTAAATTAACTAAAAAGTATTCAAAATAACAAATAAAACAAACTACAAAAATATTTTGAATACTCTAAAATATCTTAATCACCTTAACATATATAAAAACATTAACATATTTAACTAGTTTCGGATATCTTCGGATCACAATTTGGATTTCGGTTTGGTTCGAGTTATAACCAAAGTCCAAAGTAGTAAGTTCATAAGTCATGTTCGGATATTTTTGTAAACAGTTCGAATTCGGTTTCAGTTTTTCCGGTTCGAGTTAGGTCGGTACTTCGGGTTGAGCTAAATCCGGCATTTATATTAATAGGCTTATCCCAAAACCACTCGGGCCGTCTCGGCCCAAATTATTATTTAACTCGGCCCGGCTCATATTATTCTTTCAAATTCGGCTTATTCCAATACGACTCAACGCGGCCCATACCTTTCTTTATAAATAATTATCTAAATGGGCTAATTATTTAAGTCGGTCAGGCCCATATTGTTCATTCAAATTCGGTCATCATTGAGTAACCAGCACGCTCGCAGTTCCGACGACGGCGCGAAGAGGAGAAGAAATATCATACAGTTTTTTTTTTCCTTTCTAGAGAAGATGGTGAAACCCTCTGATTTCAAAGCAGTCCACAGACTTATCCACTTACACTACACTCGAGTCGTCAACCCCGTCACAGTTACCCGCTCAAAGCTCTTCACTTCCTCTTCTCCGGCGGCTTCTCCTTCACATGGGTTTACTCAGTTCCACCCCAAACCAAGTTTCCACACCTTTCCTTCCATACCCACCACGAAAAACCTCGCCTTTCCTCAGATTCACGGACATGCCTCAGTTAAAAACGTGAACTTTGCATCGGCGTTTAGGCTTTTTTCCACGTCTGGGTTACGTAAAGTCGACCGGAGTTTGGCTAGAAAGGTTGTTGAGAAACCCATGAAAGCTGTAAGTTCGAGTTTTGGTAGGTACAGAGTGGCTTTAGGGTTGCATGTAGATGCGTTTTGGAAGAAGAATAGTCTTGTGGTGTTTGGAGCAGGAGGTGTGTTCGTTTGTATTTTTCTTTGGAGGGTTATGTTTGGGATTGCTAGCACTTTCGTTGGTCTCTCTGAGGGTATGGCTAAGTATGGGTTTCTTGCTCTCTCCTCTGCCATTGTCGCATTTGTTGTAAGTGTTTCTTTTGGCTCTTTTCGTAGTTATCTCTTATAGCTTTTGCATTTGTTGGTCCATACAAATTAGGATTGTTTCAGTGATGGATAATAACTATGAATTAATCAGTGTAATAATAAATTAAAGAAACATCATGTTAATGTTGCCTTGAACTTGTTCACAGTATGCTTGTTGTAATCTATTTCTCATGTAATCAGTTATATTAATTTGATATCAATAAAGTTAAAGATGTTATTAAAAAAAAAAAGAGTACTTGTAGTGTATGGATATGAAACTGAGATAGCTTTGAGGGAAAACAGGAGTAGATCTATAGCCACATTCTGATTAGTTGTTAATTAATTTTGCTTTTGTTAATCTAGTGCAGTGTTGTTACTTCTTTGGTTAACTGGGTTTTTTTGTTTTTAATTTTCTATCAAGAATTGCAATTACTGTTGTTATCTTTGTTTTGGTGTCATAACATTTTTCTTTCTCTTATGTTGTTAAGAATCAGTGCTCAGACCACTATCTGTGTTTTTTTTTTTTTTTTTTTTTTTTTTTTTTTTTTTTTTTTTTTTTTTTTTTTTTTTTTTGTGGCTAGGGTTTATACCTACGTGCAAGGTTCACGATAAACCCTGATAAAGTGTATAGGATTGCAATGAGGAAGATCAATACAGAGGCTAATATTCTCGAAGTTATGGGTGCTCCTCTGACAGGATCAGATCTACGTGCTTATGTGATGTCAGGTGGTGGCATAACATTAGAAAAATTTAAGCCAACACTTAGGGGCAAGCGTTGCTTTCTCATCTTCCCTGTTCAAGGTGCTGAGAGAAAGGGACTCGTTAGTGTTGAAGTCAAGAAGAAGAAAGGACAGGTTCTTTGCTTCATCTACTTTCCATATATAGGAGTTTTGGTGTTTTTTCTGATGCTTATGTTTGTTTTTGTTTAGTATGATATGAAGCTATTGGCAGTGGATATTCCAATGGCGTCTGGTCCTGACCAACGCTTGTTTCTTATTGGTGATGAGGAAGAGTACAGAGTTGGTGGTGGTTTGATCTCTGAGTTGAGAGATCCTGTGGTCAAAGCAATGGCAGCAGCTAAGGAGTTTGATAATCTTGACAGGATTGAAGAGGAAGAAGACGAGGAAAGAGAACTTCTAGAAGCTGAAAGGGAGCAAGAAGACGCAGAAAGAGAACTTCAAGAAGCTAAAAGGGAGCAAGAAGACGCAGAAAGAGAACTTCAAGAAGCTGAAAGGGAACTTCAAGAAGCTGAAAGGGAGCAAGAAGACGCAGAAAGAGAACTTCAAGAAGCTGAAAGGAAGCAACGTGAAGAAACCGAGTAGCTCGAAAAATATTAAAAGATTAACTTTTACTCGTTTATTTCATATAAAGGATAAATTTTTGAGCATGTTACTGATTTGGTTTATCTAACGTAAACCGGTTTTGGATTGAGGGAAGAGAGTTTCTGTCTTTCTCCGGTTAGTATCTAACTAAGCATAAATTAATTAAAGGAACACAATGCAGAATCCAAAGGGTCAAGGCTGTATGAGTCTATAACATCTAAGTTGTCTATTTTACAAAATTAGCAATTAGTTATTGTGGTTCATCAAAACCATTCTGCATTGTCAAGAAGATATATTTTTCAATCAAAGAACCAAAAGAAAAAACGTTTGCGTTTGCTTTTTAATTGAATGTTCTTGTGATTTGAATCCCTTCCTGTGATTTGATTCCATACAGAAAAAATTGTTACCTTCATTTTATTTTCCTTAGGGTGAAAGTTTCTTGAGTTGCAAGAAACAAATCTGGAAGGATTTAGAGGTTAATCTTCTCCCATAATCTCTTCTTTTGTTATACCTTGATACGAATCAAGGGCACTTTTTATGAGATGGGTCATTTGTATTTCTTGTGTTTATCTTTTTTAACATTTTAGTTTTTGATTTTTCGTTTGGTTTGATGCAGGTTTTGTTAAGGGAATGCATGTTGACCCAAATGAGACGCAAATCTAGATTTGATTGTGTAAAGAGTTGATGGGAAATCGCTGTGCTAGAACTCCTTCTTGTAGAAAGGTATAATACATCTTGTAGATGTAATGATTCATTAGCCCTAGCTTCAGAGATAAGACAGAAGATTTTACGGTAAGATTGTAAAACTCCATGTATGTGTTTACGTACAGTTATGGTCACGTATATGCTGCTGCTGCAGCAACATCAACAAATACAACGGTCAAGCAAAAAGCCACCATGGTTCCAAAGGTTTGGTCTATCCTGTAACCAGAATCGAAATATGGGAAGAAAAAATCACAGAAGCTAAAACCAATGGCAAGATTGTAAGCTTTCTTCTTCATCACGTTTCCTCTTCTTTTCCCTTTTTTCTTTCTGTTAGAGTAACTAACTTAATCATTAAACCAAAACAGCTAGTGGTGAATTTCAACGTTTCATGGTGTGTGCCTTGTAAAAAGTTAGAACCAATCTTCAGAGAACTTGCTTCTAGATACCCTTCAATGATATTTGTAACCATTGATGTTGAAGAGCTCGCTGTAAGTAAACTAAAAGCTTTTGTTTTTGACAAGATTAGACTAATCTTGTAAGATTTTAAGATTTTAATTTTCTGAAAAAAAAACAGGAGTTTAGTAATGAATGGAATGTGGAGGCTACACCAACTATAGTGTTCCTTAAAGATGGGAGACAGATTGATAAACTAGTTGGTGCAGAAACATCAGAGCTTCAGAAGAAAACAGCTGCAGCTGCAGATCTCTAACTCATTAAACCATAAACTCTATACAACAGAAACAAAGGAGAGTTAGGTTTTTTGCTATTGTCTGTCAGAAATTTGTTCAGATAAACTTAACTTGCAGATGAAGTAAGTGTTATGAGATTTGTTAAACTTCATCTACTTCTCTTTTTTGTAATTTTACCAAATGGTTACACTTTCAACAAACAGTAAACAAGTTTCTTCTTGTTTATATTTGTTTAAATTCTTTAAGAAATTTATACATTAGTTTTTGTCTAGTTTATTCTTTTATTCTATTTTTTTGTGCATAATTTTATTCTATTTTAAAATCTAAAGAAACTGTCAAACATGGTATAGAGAAAGAATTTTCCATTGACATTTTGTAGCTACCTACCAAACATACGTACCTAAAAGTTGTGGAAGAGCTGTAACATAATGGATGCTACAAAACTACACCAGGAGAATACTATTTTTCTTTTAAAATTATAGGATGTAAACTCTTATTTAAGACTTGAGAGAGCTGATGTATTATTATTCAAACACAATGTGGAAAATTGTCAATAACACTATGCTTTGTGTTGCCAAGTTACTTGGATGCACGTTGAATAAACCAAGTGATTCATTCTGTTTCTCATAAAGAAACATACAAACTGTTTTAAAATAGAGAATAAACAAAGGAATATAGAGCCAATAAAGAGTTGTTTTCTTGGTCATCTTTAAGTCTTCAACTCCAAATCGTCAGAAGACTTATGAACTGGACCTCCACTTTTGTCTCAGATCATAACATTTCTTATAGTAGTTTTCATGTGCCTGATCTGATTCATATAATACTATCTCTCCTCCTTTCTTGCTTGAAAGATCATCAAGAAAAGGTTTGAACCAAGAAAAATAAGATCATAAGTCAATCATCAAAACCATGATGGTGAAGAAGAAGAAGAAACAGACTAGATCCCAATCTTCTACTGAGAAGAAAACTCTTGAACCCAACCTTCTCTCCATTCTCCATTCTAAGGTGACTTCTCTTTCTCCTCACTCTCTATATATCTTTGACTTTGATTCTTCCTATTACACGTTGTTCTCCGGTTCTGAATTTGAGCTATATGTTGTGTTTTGTAGTCGGCAAATGGTAAAGACTCGAATGATATGATCAGAGGCATTAGTAGTAAACCTGCACAAGGACTGTCTTCTTCTCAGTCTAGAGTCGTGAGATGTCCCAAGTGCCACAAGTTTCTCCAAGAACCTGTAGATGTGACTATTTACAAATGCAGTGGATGCAACTCTATTCTCCAAGGTACAATACTAATAGCCCTTCTTTAACTCCCCTACTCATCATGTTTTACAAGTAACCTTCCTTGTCCTTATTGTTTCTTTCTTTTGGATGCAGCAAAACATAGGGAACTGGGAAAAAGTGATAACTCTATTCATCAAGAGGATCTCTTTTCTTCTTCTCAAAACCGCAGAAGCTTAACTCCAGTGAGAAGTATTTACAGAAAGTACAGTTCAAGGACATCACCTTCTGTTGAAACTGCTTACAACTGGAGGCATGAGACATCTTATATCCCTAGAGAATGGATAAGAAGAAGAGCTGACGAGTTCAGTGTGACCAGTGACTTTGCTTCATCAAGAAGCTGTTCCAGTGTAGTTAAGTTATCTATTACAAAGAAAGAAGATACTAGTCTCCTTGATTTACTTAAATTTGTGGATCCAGCTTCAGATACTCATCTCTCGAGTTCAGACAAGGTCTCTGGAGACAGAACCGATGAGGATAAGGGGATTAAAGAAAGAGACACAAGGAGGAGCATGTCAAGCGAACTTTATGAGTTGAAACTGGAAACGTTTCAGCCTTCTCTGAACCACAAGAAACAACAACCTACGCCAAGGATTCATCTAAAGCAATCTGCAGAAGGTAGTATTACTCCAGTGAGAAGTAGTTACAGAAAGTACAATTCAAGGGGATCACCTTTGTTTGGAACTGATTACAGGAGGCATGAGGAGACGTCTTATATCTCCAGAGAATGGATGAGTATGACAAGTGCTAGTCCTTCTCCTTCTTCTTATGGCTACACTAGTCCCTTTCATGGGTCTCAAGTTTCTGGAAGAGAAGGCTGGTTTCAAGAGTTTTCTTCCTCTGCTGCTGCTTCACCTATTCGTTTCCATGGTGAGACATCTGATCAAAAGTGCTATCACTGGTCTTCTCAGCAGTCTCAGATGCATGATGATTCTCAGTTATCTATTACAAAGAAAGAAGAGACTAGTCCCCTTGATATGCATCAGGAGGATTCAGCTTCAGACAAGGGCTCTGGAGATAGAGTGTGCATTAGCACCGATGTTGTTAAGTGGGAAACGTTTGAGGATAAGGGGGTTAAAGAAAACATAAGGAGCATATCAAGCAAATTTATAGATTTGACGTTTCAGCCTCAGTGGAACCACAAGTTAAGGGCTCAAACATCTCTTGGATCAGGAGATAGAGGTCTAAACAAGAAGGAACACGTCTGTGAAACAAACGTAATGTCTGAGAACACAACAAGAGACACTCAAGATCAGTTTGACTTAGGTGAAGTTAAATGGGAAGACATCTTGGGAGAGTTTCCTTTGGAGAAATCTCGGTATACTAGTAGAGATTCTATCTGTGACAGCAGCAGCAAATTTTATGATTTGAAACTGGAGACGTTTCAGCCTTCACTGAGCCACAAGGAAGATACAAACTCATTACTGGTGAGTGTAACAAGCATAGAAGAGGAGACAGGTGAAGAGAGATCTGTATTTCAAAAGGAGAGTTACTATGAAGGACTTGAAAGAAGATGGGCAGCAGATACAATGGAAGATAGAGTGGGGTTGCACTTGGAGGAATATGAAACCAACTATGAGAATTACAGAAACCCATTTGAATGGAGTTTAGAAGGAGCAGCTCCAACATTTGATATGCCTGTGTATGAGCCAGAAGAGGAAGCTCAAGTAAGATCAATATTCAGTTCAATAGATTTCTTCAATGACCATGAAAGTTCCAAAGAGATAGCTGTGGCTCATGAGGAGGAGCCATGGCTGGTGGATGAGAACAAAATAGAAGAACTAAAAGTTGGTGTAGTGGTGGAAGATGGACCATCATTGCATTTAGAGAAGTGTGGATATGAATCAACCACATTTGGATTGACAGAAAGCACTCCAGTGTTTTGTCTGCATGAGCCTGAGCTGCTTGAACCAAACAATGAAGCTGATGGAAGTTCAAAATCCAGTTCTACGGGTTCCTTCAATAGCCACCATGAAAGTTCAGAGATGAGAGCTGTGTTCCACCAGGAGGAAGAGTCACAGGTGATGATGAGTGATAGCAGAACCGAAATGATACCAGTGAAATTAGAAGACATCTTTGAATGGACTTCACAAAGAGCTCCAACATTTCGTCTCTATGATGAGCCTGAGCTAGAAGCAGTGCCTGAACCAGAATCTAGTTCAAGGGACCATGTAACTCCAAAAGAAAGAGAGATGGATCATGGGGAAGTGGATGAGCCTTGGCTGGTAGATGTAATGGGAACAGAAGATGGACCATCTTTGGAGTTGGAGAAGTTTGAAAATGAAAAATTGTTACTAGACCAGATAGTTGAACCAAGGGAAGATATATTCAGGCTCAGTCTTGATGACACAGTTGAGCAAGAGTGGGTCAAGTTTGATTCGGAGACGTTTAAACAAGGAGACACTGAAGAAAATACACTAGCATCAGGTTCAATGTTATCTCCAGAAGTAGAGAGTGAAGCTGGAGAGGAGTTACTGAGAGACATTTTAGAGCATTTGCAGAAAGAGAATGATGAGAAGTCAAGACTAACCTCTGAGGTTGTGGGTCTGCGTCATGCGTTATATCAAACGCAAACGCAAACTTCACCAATTCTTACTCCTATTGGTTCCCCACACCATATCCTGATGCGTTCTAGGACTGCTTCACCAATGCGTTCCCACATAGTTTCACCACTGCGTTCTCCCACCAACACATCTGGATCACTCTCTGATGTATTGTTCTTGGCAAAGAAAACTTGAAGACATATAGCTTTTCCACCAAGCTTTGCTTAGTCTTTTCCCTTCAAGACTTTTTTACCTGCAAAAAAGTGTTTACATTGTTTCATTTATGTGTGCAAGTGACTTGGATTACATGTAAGGTTTTTGTACGGATGTTTTTATAGAGCTTTGCTCTTTATTTACTTTAAACACACAGGATTACAGGTTGTGTCTGAAGAAAGTAGATTCAGAGCTTCAGGAACTGGCAGAACTCTCATTACTCTGACAACTTTTCTTTCTAAAATCTCTATGACTTGTTACTTGTCCTCTACGTCTTTTCTTCCTTAACCAATCAAATGGATGTATCCATAAAGAACAACAACAAAAGTATCTTACTTGCTTTCAAAACTGTACAGAAATGATATTACAACAGCAAAAGCTTCAAAGTTTTGGAAAAAAACAGAAAGACATGATATGTTCAATTGTTCATAATCCATCAAAAAATTTCATTGTGACATTATACATATCAATTGGAAACGGATACGTGGAAACGAAATGTTTCGAAACGTGAAAACATGATTTTCAAAAAAATAGAAATGGAAACGTTTTAGAAACGTCTATAATATATATATATATATATATATGATTAATCAACATGTAAGTTTTTTAATTTATTAAGAGAAAAAGTTAAATAATATAAGTATGTTTTGTACATGTTATCATTCGATAAAACAATAGAACAACTTCATTATACTAATATGATAACAAATATCAAAAGATAATATTAAAATATTAAATAATAAACATGGAATCACTAACATCAAATGCCAAATAGTTATTTTTTTGCGTTTCTAATTAGAATTGCGAGTTTCCAAATCAGAAACACAAGTTTCCATCGTGTTTCCAAAATGAAATTTTCAAGAAACGTGTTTCCAAAGAGTTCTTTCGAGTTTCTAAGAGATTCCGATTCCGAAACATTTCCAAATCAGGAAACGGACCTTGAACGGAGTTTCCATGCAACCTAGGTTTCAACGGACATTATG